GAAAAAAAAGGCACAATACCGTGACTGGAACGATACACAACCCGCACATAGAAGAGAGGAGCTTACGACGACGTTTCGGTCCGACTTGGACCATTTACAAAGTCACACTAATGAAAAGGAGAGGAGGGGTATATATAGGCAGGAAGTGGTAGTAGTAGTAGTAGTAGTAGTAATAGTGGAGGTAGAAGGCAGTAGTTCTCTTTTCTATGTGCGGGTTATTTGATTACTCTGCAAGTCTTTGGATGGTAAAAGTCGCCCTTATCCACCCACCTCTTTTATGATACCTGGACCGACTGAGTTTATTACGTTATGTCGTTGAATTTCAAGGCATTTGCTTGTATCAGCCGTGTGGGTGACGCACAAGGTTTTTTTGTTTTAGTCACACTGTAATTCGTTGTTCTAGCACTGTTAATACCTCGTAATATTGCCCCACAAGGTAAATATTAAATATTCTTGCACTGAACCTGCTGTAATATTCCCCCTCTTTTATCAATTCCCATTCACCGTAATAACTTCTGCATATATTAACAGCCGGGCTGTGGCTCGTACGTTGGACTGCGTGCGGCCAGCAGTAACAGCCTAGTTGATCAGGCCCTGATCCATCGGGAGGCCTGGTCATGGACCGGGCCGCGGGGGCGTTGATCCCCGGAATAACCTCCAGGTAACCTCCAGGTATGTCAAGCCAGCAACCAGACGGCATGAACTTTGGGCAGCAGGACGCTGGTAAGACCACTCAAGAGAGTATACACGTAACTATGTATATATTATATGAAAATATTTTTAATCCCTAGTTACAGCTAAGTACAATATAGATTACCTAGTGAGGTTTCTCCCTCCACACGCGCCATTTTGTTTGTGTGTGGGAGGGGGAAGCGAACAGGTTACTGGACACTATTACAGATGGTCCGCTGTATGTGTACCCTACACGCCGCATTACAGCCGTAACACGAGGATGAGATGACACTAGTTTTGTGTGAGACACGAACAATACAGGGAACTGAGAGAGCAATCATACATGACAACAATATGAGGGATACTACACAATACAAACAACATACTGAAGCTACAAAATACAACCACCTGGTGACGGTTCCAAGGATCATCACCCCCGCAGCCCCTTCTTACACCAGGTTTCCTTTTATGAAAGCCCGGTTAGGCAGACATAAGCGCTTACGGCACGCAGACGCACAGCCCAGCTGATATGGAACAGTCTGCAGAAACTGGTAAAAGTTTCCTACTGAGAGTTTAGGGCCTGATGGTAATTCCCATTAGATTTCCGAGGAGTGTTGACCAGCTTAATTTTTTTGTATGCTTATCTATTTATCTCGCACCTACTTTTCATCGGGGTGTTTAGCAACATCTGTCCCTGCCGCTGTGGCCATGGGATACCAGTGTGGATGTGTAAACTAGTCCCTCCGCTATAATGTGTACTAGTGGTGTATATAAGTACTTGTTGCTACAGGAATAGAGCTATGCTTGTGGTGTTTCGTGCAGTGCAGTTAGTGTGTACTGGTAGTGCTGGTAATGCGTCCCAATAGATAAATTTCCCAAGTCTCACCCTTCCCCCAGTAATCCAGGTAACCCTCACTTCCGATAATGTAAGCTACATCAACTTCTACCTGTGGTAGGTTGTACCACGCATATACAAACACTCATTGAATAATCACGTTTTGTTAGTTTAACGTACAAGTACCCTACTATAGCTTTGTCTATGATACGCTAGGCTGGCATTGTCTAAACGAGGGATTATCTTTATCATCATGTGTGTTTTTTCTGTCTCTATGCCGTCTGTAATACAGGATCCAGAACTGCGCAACATAATCTAGACGGTCTTGCCAACTACAATTTAGCGTTGCAGTGTAACCTTGGGAAGTTATTGTACTTACTTGCATAACGCCAAGCAGTGTTACCTTTATCAAAAACTTAAATATTTATGAACAAGTATCTCCATCAAATGCCAGATCAACCAGGCTGCCATGGGTACGTGGGCCAACGGGCCGCTAGCAGCAACAAACTGGCTAACCAAGCAATCACTGGACAATAGCCCAGGCTGGGCTTGTCAACACTTAGATGATGATACACTGTCAGCGTCTGGACAATTACACTTACCAACACTTTGATAGTTAAGTTGATACAGTACTTTCAAAAAGTGGCGCTCCTTAAACATTCACACTTACTAACTCTTGCCAAGCAGTAACACCAGGTTCAGTTTACTGCACTTCTGACTCCTTGACACACCCTTGAAAGCCTGAACAATTTTTTGCAGTTGATCATCACTTTACCATCTGTTTAAGCAATCAAAGAGGCGACACTGGGCTACTACCCCCGAGCTCCGCCATTTAAGCGAATCTTGCAATACGAGCTTTTAAAACACAAACCACAATAAAAATGGGGCGATTTTTATAACACTGTTGGGATATGCAAATATATCAATCATCCTTACGTATCCATAATGCCTATATTCAAAACTAATTTAATCCTAAAAACTACGTACAATTGTACAAGAAAATATAAATCCAGAACTACCACAGTGTACGACATAGTTATATGATCAACACTTATTGTTTATCATCAGTCTTTTCAAGATTGATGGATTGATTACATCAACTCCAGGGTGAGGGGACGGATTACCTCAAACTCCTGATCTTCGCCATTCTTCTTTGTATGGACTGATGAAGTCACTGTGTGGCGAAACGTTTCCTCAATAATGATACCCAAGTGTTGCACATGTGTCTAATTTATCAAGACAATATAAATCAAGAACTTCCACAGTGTAAGACATATGTTATATGATAAACTAAGATACTTTATTAAGTTATTACCAAGCTGGAAGATGTGCAGCTTTACCACACATTACCAAGCTGGAAGATGTGCAGCTTTACCACACATTACCAAGCTGGAAGATGTGCAGCTTTACCACACATTACCAAGCTGGAAGATGTGCACCTTCACCACACATTACCAAGCTGGAAGATGTGCAGCTTTACCACACATTACCAAGCAGGAAGATGTGCACCTTCACCACACATTACCAAGCTGGAAGATGTGCACCTTCACTGCACATTACCAAGCTGGAAGATGTGCACCTTCACCACACATTACCAAGCTGGAAGATGTGCACCTTCACTGCACATTACCAAGCTGGAAGATGTGCACCTTCACCGCACATTGCCAAACTGGAAGATGTGCACCTCCACCACACATTACCAAGCTGGAAGATGTGCACCTCCACCACACATTACCAAGCTGGAAGATGTACACCTTCACCACACATTACCAAGCTGGAAGATGTGCACCTTCACCACACATTACCAAGCTGGAAGATGTGCACCTTCACCACACATTACCAAGCTGGAAGATGTGCACCTTCACCGCACATTACCAAGCTGGAAGATGTGCACCTTCACCGCACATTACCAAGCTGGAAGATGTGCACCTTCACCGCACATTACCAAACTGGAAGATGTGCACCTCCACCACACATTACCAAGCTGGAAGATGTGCACCTCCACCACACATTACCAAGCTGGAAGATGTGCACCTTCACCACACATTACCAAGCTGGAAGATGTGCACCTCTACCACACATTACCAAGCTGGAAGATGTGCACCTCTACCACACATTACCAAGCTGGAAGATGTGCACCTCTACCACACATTACCAAGCTGGAAGATGTGCACCTCTACCACACATTACCAAGCTGGAAGATGTGCACCTTCACCACACATTAACAAGCTGGAAGATGTGCACCTCCGCCACACATTACCAAGCTGGAAGATGTGCACCTCCACCACACATTACCAAGCTGGAAGATGTGCACCTTCACCACACATTACCAAGCTGGAAGATGTGCACCTCTACCACACATTACCAAGCTGGAAGATGTGCACCTTCACACATTACCAAGCTGGAAGATGTGCACCTCTACCACACATTACCAAGCTGGAAGATGTGCACCTTCACCACACATTACCAAGCTGGAAGATGTGCACCTTCACCACACATTACCAAGCTGGAAGATGTGCACCTCTACCACACATTACCAAGCTGGAAGATGTGCACCTTCACCACACATTACCAAGCTGGAAGATGTGCACCTTCACCACACATTACCAAGCTGGAAGATGTGCACCTTCACCACACATTACCAAGCTGGAAGATGTGCACCTTCACCACACATTACCAAGCTGGAAGATGTGCACCTTCACCACACATTACCAAGCTGGAAGATGTGCACCTCTACCACACATTACCAAGCTGGAAGATGTGCACCTTCACCACACATTACCAAGCTGGAAGATGTGCACCTCCACCACACATTACCAAGCTGGAATATGTGCACCTTCACCATATTACCAAGCTGGAAGATGTGCACCTTCACCACACATTACCAAGCTGGAAGATGTGCACCTTCACCACACATTACCAAACTGGAAGATGTGCACCTTCACCACACTTTACCAAGCTGGAAAATGTGCACCTTCACCACACATTACCAAGCTGGAAGATGTGTACCTCTACCACACATTACCAAGCTGGAAGACGTCCAGCTTCACCACACATTACCAAGCTGGAAGACGTCCAGCTTCACCACACATTACCAAGCTGGAAGACGTCCAGCTTCACCACACATTACCAAGCTGGAAGACGTCCAGCTTCACCACACATTACCAAGCTGGAAGACGTCCAGCTTCACCACACATTACCAAGCTGGAAGACGTCCAGCTTCACCACACATTACCAAGCTGGAAGACGTCCACCTCACCACACATTACCAAGCTGGAAGACGTCCAGCTTCACCACACATTACCAAGCTGGAAGACGTCCATCTTCACCACACTACAAGTGGGTGAGTCTTGAGTAAGCTGGAAGGTGACTCCATCATTATAAACAGGTTCTGAGACATACAATGGAGAGACCATAGTGGTCATTCAACGAAGCTTGTAGACCAATCTGACCTAAGCTTATACAATAAGCTTACATTTAAAGAGCATCTTACCTTATGTATCAGCCGGCTTTAGGAGACAGCATTGAGGTAATCCACTGGCACTGACTTGCTATGTAAATTACAGTAGAGAGGTGTAAAATATGTGGTCAGGGATGGCAACGACTGGTTGCCCACTTCACACTACTGGCATCATCAGTCCTGATTCAAACTTACGTTCAATCCCATTCCCAAACCCCTTGATTATAGTCACTCTGGTTAACCATCACCCGGGGAGCACTAGCGACATCCTACCTTGTGTTACATATTGATAATGGCAAGTCCTAGTGACATTGTCTATTTACAATAGTGACAAGAGCACTCGGCACCGACATATCCCTCCCCTTCGAAGTCTGGGCTCATACTGACCCCCCCAAACTTGTCTTTGGTCGTGGTGGTTGTTGCCAGCGCCAGACGCACGATGAGTTGCGAAACGGTTGTAATTCATACCCATTCAAATTTCTGTGGATACCATCATATATTTAGTATGCACTAGTGATGTCAGCCGTGTATGTTGAGTACGAAATAGATATGGCAGCTGTGAAGTAGGCAGAGAGGAATTACGTAATGGTGTGATGCTCCACGTGGGAGAGCAGCATCCATGACGTGGGCGACATCAGCTGCTCAGGCAGCCTCAACCCACCATAACATACCACCTTTACCTGTCTCATATACACGGTGTATACACCCTGATACGGTGTACACACCCTGATACACTGTATATATACTCAGACACACTTCTCGGTGTATGGAAGACAAGCCACGGAAGGGGGGTAATCAAATCTTCAGCTCAAGATCTTTCACACGTCTCCGTGCGTCATCAGGAGCTATGCAATGTTAAAAGAGTAGCCAGCCAGTTCCTTCTGAGAGGAACTGGTTGCCATTACCATGCTACCTTTGAGAAACCTTCCTCTCATTCCATCTGTTGCTACTCTTGAAACATTACATAGCTCCTGATGACGCACGGAGACGTGTGAAAGATCCCCCCGTCCCTTGTCTTGCACTGTTAAGATTCTCTCTCCGATTGTATTGCATCTCTGTGCATACACCGAAAGGTATAATGTGTATATGCACCGAAGTATACATCTCGGTGTATATACACCAAGAGATGTACATTTCAGTGTATATACACCGGGCCGCGGGGGCGTTGATCCCCGGAATAACCTCCAGGTAACCTCCAGGTATACACATTGATGTTTTTAATCGCATTTTGTGTATTAAAGTGTCCTTGACTTGTGGTGCACAGGTGACGTACTGCATTAATGACCCCCGTGTGGAAGATAGGATTGAAACCTAATAGTCAGAGATGGTAATCCCTGAGTAATAGTAGCTACTTAACCCTTATTGAACCATTTTATGAGGTTATAGTCCTATTGACGTCTACTAGCTCAGGTTGACATTGCTTAGTGTGTAAAGCCTAACAGATCACAGAATGGGTGGGGTTTGAATCCATGGTAAATGTATATGTTATGCGTTCAAATCCCCGTAGCTCGATTGCTCACACAGTGAGGTCCGTGGTTCGATCCCCGGTACGAGTGGAAACATCAGGGCGTGTTTCCTTAAGTGACCTGCTGTCCCTGTTCACCTAGCAGTAAATAGGTAACCGGGCGTTAGCCGACTGGTGTGGATCTCATCATGGGGACAAAACTGACCTAATTTGCCCGAAATGCTCTGCATAATGAAGGGCTTTCTATATAGTACTAAGTCATTGATGTCAGCTATGATACGTATACTTTGTACATATAAAAACAAAGATTGTTATTTTGTGATGTGTATACAGTCATCATTACAATTTCGTTATCCCTGAACCCTCTCTGTGGTGGAGTATGACAGGGATACATAGTTACACTAAGCGAATAAAGGTAACTCTCACTCTGAATAGGGCAGCCACATCCTACGGGCGTTCCCACAGTATGTGATATTAAATAGGGCACAGAACACCACTGATGTACCTAATTTTGTACAGTAAACCGTACCTGTTGTTATGAATTTGTTGATCCACTAACCGTGATCCGTGGCCGCTAATTGCCTATTAGTATAGCGATTCACTTCCATAAACACATTCTGACAACCAACAAATGTTATTTTCTAGGCTATTGTTTCAAACAATATATAAAGTCGACATGCTGGACATACAATGTATGGCTTTCTGACTTTTATTCAATTATTTGCTTATATATTAGTTAATTTCTACACGTACATAGAGGGAAAAACCGCGCATCACAATGATAATAAAAGGTTTTTCGTAACCAAAGTAAATGAATACTTGCATGTTCTAATAGCCCCACATGGAGACAGAAACTTGTGATTAATTGATCTGTTTATTTCGATCCTCTTCATCTGCAGAAGAGGATCCCAGAATTATTATTATTATTATAATCAAGGGGGAAGCGCTAAACCCGGAGGATTATACGCGCCTGGGGGAGGGGGATGTGGAAGGCATTCAGGTTTAAAATTCGGGGAACTGGACACAGTCCTTTCCCTAAAAAAGAGCCCCTCCCAACAAAAGGATTTTTATTTAATCAAAAGAAGCGCTAAGCCACAAAGGCATACACCCAACACAAAAACCCTTTGTATGAAGGGTTTAAAAACCGAAAGTTGAAGTTTGAGACATTTATGCAGCATAGGGGAACTTTACGGGAAACTTTTTCGCCACAATCAGCCCAAAAAAAGGAAGGCGTAAGGAGAGGAGGATATGAGGTAACAGTCCCTCAGCCTATAACCCACGTCACGGCCTATGCTGTACATTCTACAAGATTGATGGACTGAACACATCGACCCAGGCGAGGGATGATTCCTCTACTCCTCCCCTCCTTACGCCTTTCCCCTTTTTATTGGAGATGAAGCCACTGTGTGGCGAAACGTTTCCCGAAAAAAGATTCCCAATGCTGCATAAGTGTCTCAAAACTTTATCAAGGAACCCTTTCCCTTTAGGGAGGGCCCAGAAGGGGATCGAAATTACAGACTAATTAATCTTAAGTTTTGTCTTTGGGGTTATTTTTGAGCATAATGTGCGCCGTTACTGTTTACCCCCCTTGCCACATCTTTAAAAATTTCACCCCGGGGAGGGGACCCCAAAAAAAAAAAAACATTCATCGTCACATTTAACTGCTGTCTTGCCAAAGTGTAATAAGGAATTCGGGCGATTTTCTGGGCGACATAATTTCCACCTTTTTGCGAGTGAGGCGCTGTACTTTCAAACCCTTTAAGACTTGGTCAACCCCTTTCCCCCAATCCCCCTTTTTTTCATTCATAAAGGGATTCAGGGTTTGGAGCTCACACTCCAAACCCTGAAAGCCACTTGTCTCCACTCCAGATTCTCCACAACTACGGTGATCTTCATACCAACTTCAAGGCTGAGGGACTCATTACCTCATCTTTTCTATATAGTTCTAGTGTCTTCCAATTATGTCCTAGAATTTGTATTGATAAAGCCACTGGATGGCGAAACGTCTACATTAAAGATACCCAGATGTTGCATATATCTATTTTCACGCTCACACACGCCTGCTGTATGCTGAAGCCTCTACCACTTAAAACCTCCTCCAACTCTTCTTGGGGTTATGCCTATCTCTCTTACCCTTTTCACCATTTATACATCCTCTTCCTCACCCTATTCTGCTCCATCCTTTCTAAATAGTAAAAAACACCTCAATACATCAATACTACACCATTCTTCAATTTCCACATTCCTGATTCTCTTTACAATGTTAATATTGTTAACAAAGATAACATCACTGCCTCAAGCCTCCTCTCGCGGGCCATTCTTATACAGTATGCCATTACACCCTGGTGCATTTTTCTTTCCACAGATGCCTCAACATGCACTTATCTTTTCCCCTCGTGTATTCTACAGTTTACCTCATTTTTCATGGGTCTAACCATGACACGTCCGCTTCCAGGTATCTCAATGCCGTGTCGGGCCGCAGGGGGCGATGACCCCCGAAATTATCTCCAGGTATTATACTCTCCAAGTATACACCTGCTGTCCCTGTTCACCTGGCAGTGGATAGGTACCTGGCTGCTAGTTGACTGGTGTAGGTGGCATCTTGGGGGTGGTAGTGTCCCTCAGATAGAGCTCGGCTTTGAAATGAGCTGAGGTAGGATAACAACTCAGATTGTAAAACTGATTTGTGTAAACAAAGATACAGTAATAATGGTAGAATTACCAACACATGCAACTATTGTGACATTTTATTGTCAGTTTAGCTGCAAGCTCCTTGGAGAGCGAAACATTTCACAGTAAAATGTCATATCAGCTGCATCTGCGTCCATTTTCATAAGCCCTATAAACCCACAACTAGTTGTGGGTTTATAGGGCCGCTGACACATCACGCCGTACCGAGCCGTCTCTGACCCTTCATTACTCTTACTCCTACTGCTTCTCTCGTACAAGAAATCACAGCCTCCTCCTTTGTCTTCCTCTTTTTCTTTTTCTTATTCCTCTTTTCTTATTCTTCCTCGACCTCTTCATCTTTCTTCATACTTTCCTTATTCCTCTTTTTCTTATTCTCTTTCTTATTCCTCTTCTTCTCCCTCTTCATCTGACGGGCTGAACCCGTATGGGCCACCAAGGCAACGGAAAGCAGGTTAAATACGAGGAAAGATAGATTCAGTTCCTTGGATCAAGAACCTCTCACCTGTATCAGGACACCTCCCCTCATAGGACGAAAATACATCATGTGTGTGTAACCATGGCAACACAAGCAAACAGGTGAGGGGGAGGCGCTAGGCTGGACAGTGTGATACAAGCCGTGTGGATTACATGTAACTTACTCTCTTGTACAAGCTGTTAACTGGATACAGGTCTATTGTTACCTGGATACAGGTCTATTGTTACATGTATACAGGTCTATTGTTACCTGGATACAGGTCTATTGTTACCTGGATACAGGTCTATTGTTACCTGGATACAGGTCTAGTTACCTGGATACAGGTCTAGTGTTACCTGGATACAGGTCTATTGTTACCTGGATACAGATCTGTTGTTACCTGAATACAGGTCTATTGTTACCTGAATACAGGTCTATTGTTAAGCGGATACAGCTCCACCGTGTTATATTACAGTAAAGTGCAATACAGCGTCACAATATGTGAACATATTTGAATATATAATTGCCCAAAGAATTGAAATTTTCGTTTTGTATAGGCTGTTGGCAGATAGTATACTCCCGGAGGTGTATTTCAGTGTACATGTATGTGCCGAGAGTGTATTGAAGTCCCTATTTTAGGGGTTAGGGTATTTTTGTCTGGTGGTTACAAGGTTACGTGCAGTCTTATTGATGACTAGTTGATAGACTTTAGAAAACCCTGTTAGTCCAGCAACTATGGAATTTGTCAGTTGGATTTAGCAGGTGATTTGGCGTCAGGTGAAGGGCGTTAGAGTACATGGAGTTAGATAAAGTGCGTGAGAGTACATGGCGTCAGATGAAGTGCGTGAGAGTACATGGGGTCAGATAAAGTGCGTGAGACTACATGGCGCCAAGTGAAGCACTTGAGAGTACATTAGATAACAGAGGACTCGCAAGTCCACACGACTATATGCCGAGAACTATCTACTTCCATCCAGACTAAGGACTATCGTGTATTATTTATGTATACAAGACAGGGATAGATAAGCAGGTGATAGAATAAGTGAGGTTAGATATGATTCGTCAGGACACAGAAGTGTTTCCTGACGCAGGTCTTAGCTATCTGGTGATCCACAGCTGGGGCTTTTGGTCATCTGACTGAGGCCTTCCACTGGCTTACCCCTCCACCCCCTTTAAAAATTATGGTTATTAACTTTGTAATGATTAACTATCAATGAATAAAGAAGAATAGACGGGGCGAGGATCGATCCCCTATGTCCATTTTTCTCTTTAATCACCGTCGTTACGATTATAACCATCAGATACAATCAGTACAGGTGATAGTCGTGAAGTGTGAAGCATCAGATGACAGACGTGAACTGGGACAGACTACAACATGCCGTCCTTAGCAGAACAAAAGGAAAAAATCAACAGCCAGATACAAGAACTCCGGAAAAAAATTCAGCTTTCAGGTCAGCCTTGTTCCCTGTATCACTCGTACAATTAAGTAAATAAAAGATAAATACACATAATGGTGATTAACAGTGCTATTAATTCTAAGAGTATATATATATATTGCATGCCTCCTGCCCCAGCATGTCTTTAATCAATATATATTTTTCAGTCTAATAACGGTGCTACGTTCACTTTCATTCCTTCTCTTAGCTATGCTCTTGCTGTATAGCCCTTGTGGCTTATCTGGAGTTTATCTGGAGAGAGTTCCGGGGGTCAATGCCCCCGTGGCCCGGTCTGTGACCAGGCCTCCTTAGGTCAGTGTCCCAGGATGCGACCCACACCCAGGTACCCATTTTACTGATGGGGAACATAGACAACAGGTAGAAAGAAACACGTCCAATGTTTCTACTCTGGCTGGGAATCGAACCCAGGCCCTCACCGTGTGAAGCGAGAGCGTTAACCACCAGGCCACCAGAGCGCTTCTTTTTGATTATAATAATAATAATTAGCTTTGCTCTTGCCTACTCGGAGCATTATTGTTATTATTCAAAAACAATGTTTAACCAATGCTATATATATGTGGTTTATGGTATACACATGAAGCCAATGTTACACGTCTCGATATCGAGTTCTTTTGTTGATCATTGTCATATGTAGTCTTCAGTATTATCAAAGGGTGGTTGCTAAATGGGGAATGGAAGGTAATCAAGTTTTTGTCCCACTAAGAGGACGGATGGAAGTCCTGTGATCAAGAGCCCTTCCACAGCATCAAGGCGTCTTTCCCTTGAAGGGATTGAAGCTGTAATAGGCATGTGTGTACTGGTACAAGATAATGGGTTGCATATCAGGTAATGGGAAACTCTTACTGATTGGTCGAGATTACCTATGGTTCAGTGGAGGGAATCATTACTGGTTTTACTGGTGGACTTGCTCTGCCAAGGTCACTGGCAAGGTCAACCTGGCAAGGTCACCCTGCAAGGTCACACACTAACTCGTTTTGCTCACTCAACACTAACCTTAAAGACAGTACGTAGCGTAGCGTAGTATCTTCAATGTTGATGTTTAAGTCAAGCGAGTTACTTCAAGGCTGCTTGCCTGACCTCCTTCAAGGCTGGTTACTTGACCTTCAAGGCAGGCTGCTTGACCTCCTTCAAGGCAGGTTGCTTGACCTCCTTCAAGGCAGGTTGCCTGACCTCCTTCAAGGCAGGTTGCTTGACCTCCTTCAAGGTATGTTGCTTGACCACCTTCAAGGCAGGTTGCCTGACTGACTTCAAGGCAGGCTGCTCGACTCTGGTGAAGGGTTCTTGATTTAAGGCATTGAAGCTGATTTCGATCTCCTGGACCAAATGTCTGTCTCCCGTACCTATAGCTGCCTCATGACCACTAAGAGTTTACCGCTCCCCATCACTGCAATAATAATAATAATAATAATAATAATAATAATAATAATAATAATAATAATAATAATAATAATAATAATAATAATATACATATCCACAAGTACTGACGTCAAGGTTTTTCTCGTATTCAACAATAAGTTTTCTGACAGACTATTATAAACACAATAACCATTTTAACAAAACTCAGATTTTTCAGTTTTAAACAAACAATATACACAATACAAGTTGTAGACTTTGCATGGTATTAATAAAAGCTGGAATATGCAAAAAATACAACAGTATAACAATGGACTTTGAGGCCTGTATTTATGCTACAAGATTAACTACAATGCTGTTTTCGTTGTAGTATTGTTTGAGCAGACATGTGTTGGTTTGTACTGACAGTATATTGGTGGTTCAACAGAAGGAGAGAGTAAGGCCTTCTACGAGGAGAGTGAGGGCGAGAAGAGAGTAAATAAGGCAGCCATTACAGCACTAAGAACAGAGATTAAATTACTACACGTCAAGATTGAAGAGTCAAACCAGGTAGTTCACTAATATATATATATATATATATATATATATATATATATATATATATATATATATATATATATATATATATATATATAATATATATATATATATATTTTTTTTCAACAAGTTGGCCGTCTCCCACCGAGGCAGGGTGACCCAAAAAAGAAAGAAAATCCCCAAAAAGAAAATACTTTCATCATCATTCAACACTTTCACCACACTCACATAATCACTATTTTTGCAGAGGTGCTCAGAATACAACAGTTTAGAAGCATATACGTATAAAGATACACAACATATCCCTCCAAACTGCCAATATCCCAAACCCCTCCTTTAAAGTGCAGGCATTGTACTTCCCATTTCCAGGACTCAAGTTCGACTATATGAAAATAACCGGTTTCCCTGAATCCCTTCACTAAATATTACCCTGCTCACACTCCAACAGATCGTCAGGTCCCAAGTACCATTCGTCTCCATTCACTCCTATCTAACACGCTCACGCACGCTTGCTGGAAGTCCAAGCCCCTTGCCCACAAAACCTCCTTTACCCCCTCTCTCCAACCCTTTCGAGGACGACCCCTACCTCGCCTTCCTTCCCCTATAGATTTATATGCTTTCCATGTCATTCTACTTTGATCCATTCTCTCTAAATGACCAAACCACCTCAACAACCCCTCTTCTGCCCTCTGACTAATACTTTTATTAACTCCACACCTTTTCCTAATTTCCACACTCCGAATTTTCTGCATAATATTTACACCACACATTGCCCTTAAACAGGACATCTCCACTGCCTCCAACCGTCTCCTCGCTGCTGCATGTACCACCCAAGCTTCACACCCATATAAGAGTGTTGGTACTACTATACTTTCATACATTCCCTTCTTTGCCTCCATAGATAACGTTTTTTGACTCCACATATACCTCAACGCACCACTCACCTTTTTTCCCTCATCAATTCTATGATTAACCTCATCCTTCATAAATCCATCCGCCGACACGTCAACTCCCAAGTATCTGAAAACATTCACTTCTTCCATACTCCTCCTCCCCAATTTGATATCCAATTTTTCTTTATCTAAATCATTTGATACCCTCATCACCTTACTCTTTTCTATGTTCACTTTCAACTTTCTACCTTTACACACATTCCCAAACTCATCCACTAACCTTTGCAATTTTTCTTTAGAATCTCCCATAAGCACAGTATCATCAGCAAAAAGTAACTGTGTTAATTCTCATTTTGAATTTGATTCCCCATAATTTAATCCCACCGCTCTCCCGAACACCCTAGCATTTACTTCTTTTACAACCCCATCTATAAATATATTAAACAACCATGGTGACATTACACATCCCTGTCTAAGACCTACTTTTACCGGGAAGTAGTCTCCCTCTCTTTTACACACCCTAACCTGAGCCTCACTATCCTCATAAAAACTCTTTACAGCATTTAGTAACTTACCACCTATTCCATATACTTGCAACATCTGCCACATTGCTCCCCTATCCACTCTATCATATGCCTTTTCTAAATCCATAAATGCAATAAAAACTTCCCTACCTTTATCTAAATACTGTTCACATATATGCTTCAATGTAAACACTTGATCTACACATCCCCTACCCACTCTGAAACCTCCTTGCTCATCCGCAATCCTACATTCTGTCTTACCTCTAATTCTTTCAATTATAACCCTACCATACACTTTTCCTGGTATACTCAATAAACTTATTCCTCTATAATTTTTACAATCTCTTTTGTCCCCTTTCCCTTTATATAAAGGGACTATACATGCTCTCTGCCAATCCCTAGGTACCTTCCCCTCTTTCATACATTTATTAAACAAAAGTACCAACCACTCCAACACTATATCACCCCCTGCTTTTAACATTTCTGTCATGATCCCATCAGTTCCAGCTGCTTTACCCCCTTTCATTCTACGTAATGCCTCACGTACCTCCACCACACTTACATTCTGCTCTTCTTCACTCCTAAAAGATGGTATACCTCCCTGACCAGTGCATGAAATTACTGCCTCTGTTTCTTCCTCAACATTTAAAAGTTCCTCAAAATATTCTCGCCATCTACCTAATACCTCCATCTCCCCATCTACTAACTCCCCTACTCTGTTTTTAACTGACAAATCCATACTTTCCCTAGGCTTTCTTAACTTGTTTAACTCACTCCAAAATTTTTTCTTATTTTCATTAAAATTTCTTGACAGTGCCTCTCCCACTCTTTCATCTGCTCTCCTTTTGCACTCTCTCACCACTCTCTTTACCTTTCTTTTACTCTCCATATACTCTGCTCTTCTTATAACACTTCTGCTTTGTAAAAACCTCTCATAAGCTACCTTTTTCTCTTTTATCACACCCTTTACTTCATCATTCCACCAATCACTCCTCTTTCCTCCTGCCCCCACCCTCCTATAACCATAAACTTCTGCCCCACATTCTAATACTGCATTTTTAAAACTCAACCAACCCTCTTCAACCCCCCCACTACTCATCTTTGCACTAGCCCACCTTTCTGCCAATAGTCGCTTATATCTCGCTCGAACTTCCTCCTCCCTTAGTTTATACACTTTCACCTCCCTCTTACTTGTTGTTGCCACCTTCCTCTTTTCCCATATATATATATATATATATATATATATATATATATATATATATATATATATATATATATATATATATATATATATAGTGTCGAATATGTAAAACTGGTCAATTAGCAAGAAGTTATTTAAAATTAAGTCATTTCTAAAATTTTCTTTTATGCCTTTAAACTTATTTTTCTTTTTCATTTATTTTAATGCAAAAATTAATAATTTTGTACCAAAAGAATCTTAGAAAACTTACCTGACCTTATTATAACAAACGCAATTTAATTTAGCCTAATCTAACTAAATATATTTTAGATAAGTTTACAATTATTTAATAATAAACAAACACAATGAAATATATATCCTCGACACCCTAATTAAGTCTCCCAGCTCAGGTTTACAAGTTGCAATATATTAGGTTAGGTAATGTTTGTCAGGAAACAGGACAAGTGTTCCCTGACGCGGGTCTTAGTTAATTGATGATCCGTCACTGGAGTTTTTGGTCATCTGGCCGAGGCCTTCCACTGGCTTACCCCTCCACCGCTTTAAAAATTATGATTATAATTCTAACCACATTAGTTGTATATATGCAATACGTACTAAGCAGTAAATTTATTTAGCTACAATGCTGCAATTATACAATTCTTAGATGATTTCAGATGTCTTACATAGTAACATATTATGAGATAATCCATTTTGTGCGAACGCATATGACGAAATCCACTTAAGTGATAGGTGTATTAGGTAAACAGTTCTCGAAATGTTATAAAAAAACATGGAACGCGTGATTTGAACCCATGACGAGTCCTACAACTCACAGGTCAGTGCGTTAACCACTTGGCCAGTTGGCTCTAAGATTGTGTTACATAAGAACATAAGAGTGAAGGAACACTGAAGCAGGCCTACTGGCCCATACAAGGCAAATCCTTATCAAAACCACCCATTCCCACACGCATGTCCATCCCTTCCCCAAAGGTACTTAAGAATTTGCTTCAGCATCTCAGATACTAACAAACTCAGCCCTTGTCCAATCTCTTTTTAAAATCACCCAAGGTCTTAGCCTCTATAACCCTACTCGGCAGATTGTTCCACGCATTTCATGACTCAAATTGTCATATAGATCAGGGAAATCCCACACCGAGGTTAATAAGCGTGAATAAACTGAGTGTTGTGTGGCGAGGCAGGGGAGTGAGAGGAGTGTTGAGAGAGTTCTCCAGCAACGGCGGCGAGCAGTCAGTGCCCCCGTCAGAGTGAAGAAAGCAGATGGTACCATCAGGGCAACAGAGTACAAGCTACATGACCTTGTCAAACGACTTGACTTCCTCCAACATACTTCGAAGCAGGTCAGTGCAGGTCGCCAAAGGCTTGTTTATATATATATATATATATATATATATATATATATATATATATATATATATATATATATATATATATATATATATATATATATATAATATATATATATATATAAAAGTCTGGGTTGAAGGTGAAACTATTCATAATTATATTTAGGGGAGGTGCTAAACCCATACGGGTCATGCAATGCATAGGGAATAGAAAAATAGGTTCGATCAAAGAGAGAAGAGGACACTTCAATCCCTGGTACTACACATATTTCTTACATATATGGTTGTCTTCCTACAGCGGGAGACTCGGCTGGAGGCGCTGAAGAAACTACTAGGTGAAGCAGTGTCTGAAACTGCGCAAGACGAAGAGAGAACCATTCAGCAACTACAGCAAGTTAGATCTCTCCGCTAATTATAGTGACAACAATGATAAAAATTATAATGAAACAATATTGTAGTTCTTTACTATCGTAGCTTCTTACGCTGAAATCGTAGCCTCTTCCCGATACCAAATACCTTGCATCATCTGAAGCGGGTGGTACTTATCTCCTTGCGGGAGAATATTATTATTATTATTATTATTATTATTATTATTATTATTATTATTAGGACCTGATAGGGCTGGAGAACGAGCAGGACCGCGTCGGTGTGAGTGTGATGGAGGCTGAGGGCGTGAAGAGGAGGTACAAGGCCATGATCACGGCGTTGAAGGGGGAAGCTGCGTCCTACAGGACTACCCTGGACAACCTTCAGGCCAGACTCGTCGAGGAGAAAGAAGCTCTAAAGAATCTCAGAGTCGAGTATTTCCAAGAAAAGCTCTTACCTCTTTCACATAATCTACACACGCGCAAACACACGTATTCACATAAAAACATAAAAAAAAACTCGCACCACACATTCACAAAAAGCACAAACATTTACTCAATACACACATATAATACTGGACAATCTATTGCATCTGTGCAATATATATGTATGTAACTTCACAGTCTCTTAGGCCCAGTGCCTGTACTTCAGCTTGGCAGCAATGTGTTGAGTGTGCTCGGCTGGCTGTGCCTATCGGATCATTGATTATATTCTCGTTACGGCACAGATGTGCTGACTGTGCACCCCAGCAAAAACATTGGTTGAATTTTGATGTATAGTAGTGGTAATTGTTGTAGCTTCAGAGTTGTACTAATAGTAGCAATAGTTACTAGCAAATAATGTAACAGTATTATATTTACACAGCGCTTGGGAAGTAGTCAGTCACGTTAACGTCACTGAAGGCTCCTCAAGGTTCCTTGATGCTGGTGAGGAGCTCTTGATCTAGGGAATTAGATGTGCTTCAGTTCCCTGAATTGAGTCTGAATACCCTCCACCCCCCTCCCCACAGATGCTGCATAATCCTCCGGGTTTTGCGCTCCCCTATGATTATAATAATTCACAGAAGGGGAGATAAGTTTAGTGCCCTGAATCATCACCAGCATCAAGGAACTTCCCTAGAGTAGCGTAGTAGTCAATAATAACAGTATTATTATGATTAATTATATTTATGTAAACCTGGAAAAACCATGGGGTCACAGTGTTTGGAGAATATGGAGAAATCGGGTTTGATTCAAGGAAGGGAAGGGCAGGTTCATTTTAATGGATGACGAGCCTCGCATCGACACCAAGAGGCCTTCCTTGAGGGCCATTAGTAAATAAGAAATACTGGACCATGTAGCAGTAAAGAAACCGTGTCAAGAGCATCAGTGACTAAAATCATTAGGTAACGTTTCAGGTGTAGAAGCAGCAGAAGTTGTAATTATATTAATTTATCACTGACAGGATAGCCGCAGGAACGCAGAGAGGACACGAGATTCCTTAAGAAGTAGGCTTCATGACGAGGAAGAGTCAGCTTACGAGACCAAGAGAGAGAGGGAGAAGAAACTGTTTGAATACAGGTGAAGTCTATAGTCTTTTATTATACTGAATACAGGTGAAGTCTATAGTCTCTTATTATACTGAATACAGGTGAAGTCTATAGCCAAGATCTTTGTATATTGTGCAGATGATGAACCTAGGGCTTCAACTCCTTCCTTCTTCTGTACCCATGGCAATATCCTGTTTGTCCCATGGCTTTCAATGTGTCCATTTCTTTTTGAACGTAGAAATAATCACATTGTGCCGTACCTTTACCCTATGCTCGTGGTTCTTCATTTGCACATACAAGGCGGCGAGCCGAGGAGCGTCGTGTGCAGGACCTGGGCGCCGCAGCTGACCGTCGCCTTTCTCTCATGAGGACACCCACCAGGAGGGACTCTCCTACCACTGCCCTCACACAAGACACTCATGAACAGATTGAAGCAGAGCTTGAGAAGTACCAGCAGGTGTTCACCAAACTCAAGGTGAGGTATTTCCATCGCTAGAAATGATTTTATCCAATATTTGAGTGAATATATATGTTGAGTAACCACACACTAATTTTTAAGTCCACCCCTCCCCCTTTTAAAACAGTTGTCAGAACTGATATAAAGTATCATTTTGAAAGATAGGGATGTTGATCTACTTTAAAAAAAATCCTAAAAAGAAGCTAGAATTTGGCTTTTAATTTCTTTCGGTAAGTTAAGTCACTTACCAAGCCGAGGCTCATTTTTTTTTTTTAATTCAGAATTTTCCATAAGATTTAGACTTGACAAGTAGCAAATCATCGACACCATGCCTAACCCTTCTAGGGTAGGGTAGGTGCCTGATCCCGAGCCTTTAGCTCAGTGGTTCCCAAACTTTTTCAGCTTGCTACCCAATTTAACATGCCACATAAAGCATGTTACCCCTTTCACAAAATGTTGTTATTATTGATATATATGGCTAAATTAAAACAATTGAGATATTTTCTTTTATTTATTGTATTTGAACATTGTGCATCTCTAATGACTATTACCAAAGATGTCAAGAACATCAGTGGGATGGACGGAGTTGCATACTTGAAGCTAGTTTAGGAATTCTTGGCTTCATACCAGCTTATGTCTACCTCGGCTGATGCTCACAGATAAACTGACAGTGTGAAATAGAGGCAGCTCAGGAAGTGAGTGACGCGTACTGGACAGGTCGATCTGGGCTACTGAGTGACTTTTGTCCTGAAGCATACTTGTCAAAATACTTTTGGGTTTCCACACACTTAGCTATATATTTCTTCTTTTCTAATACTGTATATTAGTTTTTGATGTTTATTGTTATTTGGTTTAACTTTATTACTTACTTATAATAGGTTTACTTTACAACTTTATATACTAAGATAAAGTTAACAATAATCCTTATACCGGGTACCGCATTGTTTTCTTGATTTTCAGAATTCATAACTTTTTTTCTGTCACCCCTCCATTACCCCCAAAAAATGGTTAAATTACCCCCAGGGGGTAATTTACCCCCAGTTTGGGAACCACTGCTTTAGCTCATAAGACTGTCATTCCCATTTGCCCCCTTGGGGCGGGGATGACAGACCAGAGAGACCTAGCTTGTGGCTAGGCCTGGGGACAGTTGGTCCCAAAGATGAGGAGGTATTTGTGCCTTCTCCCATGGGAGACTTAGGTCTCAGACACTCCCTAAAGTGGGAGCCAAGGCCGGGCCACCACTTGGAAAAGGCCCGGGCCGGGAGAATACCGGCCCGGGCCGGTATTCTAATAAGTAGTAAATAAAAACCAGGTATCTTGCCAAAAGACATGCTGCTCGCTATAAATGCTTAAATGCAACATTAAAAGCTCCTAATTAGCAACAAAAGCAAATAACTATCAATTAAGTTATTTGCTGGATAAATTTTGATGCAGCCAAACTATACCACAAGCGAAGCTAAATAGCCAGTTGTTAAAACTTTTAGGATGTGTAGATAATCCTTTCATAACTTGCCCTCAAATCGGAAATAGAAACTAGACATTTTGGTCCATCAACTTTCCACTTATTCTTTTTGAAAATTATTGTGGAAATAAATGGTATAAAATAGTGACACAATGGCAAAGACAAATCTATTATAAATGCGTTCCTCTACTGACTACGTCATATATAACTAAACGGTTATAACTGACCATAATTTTTAAGGGGGATGTAGGGGTAAGCCAGCTGAAGGCCTCGGTCAGATGATCAAAAGCTCCAATGGCGGATCATCATCTAAGACCCCCGTCAGGAAACACTTGTCCTGTTTCCCGACGAACCTTTCTGACTACGTCACAAACTCTGTTACAGGAAGTGTTGGGTGTAACGAGTGTTGAGGAGGTTGTGGAGAGGCTTACAACACAAGGCAACACCAGGGAACACCTTCGTCAACTTAGATCAGTCACACTCGAGGAAGTCACCAGGCTGAAGCAGGAGAAGGAACATATGCATGAGGAACTACACAGGGTGAAATATGCTACTACTGAAGATGCTGCTAGGCTAGTTAATTTTCCATTTTATTTTAATCAGGGGAGAATAAGACCAGTTACTTGGATTAAGAGCCCCTCGCCAGGCTGGTTGAACGTTAATACCATATTTTATATCATTCACCCTTTTAAGATGGTTCCTTGATGCTACTGAAGGGCTCTTGATCCAAGGACCGTTCACTGGGGTGCCATGCTGTATGACCCTTATGGGTCTGATTGCAATGGTAATATTAATGGAGAGCCTTAATACTATTGAAGGGTTCTTTACCCGAAAAAAAAAGAAGGTGTCCTTCCCTTCCTTGGATCAAACCTGATTATCCTATCCCTGGCTTTATGATTATGGGTTTCGCGCTTCCTCATACTAGAGTAGATCACTTTCTTTTGTGCATTTAGCTACTGCATTTCCAAAACTTATCAACTATCTCCAGCTTTCATTTTAAAGGTCTCGCTTTCTCACCGGTGCACCCCTCAAGGGAGGTTCCTTGATGCTGGTCAGGGGCACTTGATCTAGGGAATTGGATCTGTGCTCCAGTTCCCTGAATTAAGCCTGAATACCTTCCATCCCCCCACATGCACTGTATAATCCTACGGGTTTAGCGCTCCCCCATGATTATAATTATAATAATCACCGGCGCAGGAGGGACATTATCAGTATTTTCAAGGGATTGACTGCTAAGCCAAGACAAACGACTGTAGTAGGTTCGCCGGTCTTGTCCCGACCCGGGTCTTCTCCAGGTGGTAACCCGGCGAAGACAAGAGTTTAGGTAAGACCCTGTGGGGTGAACGGGGAAGATGGAACAGGCGAAGAATAGCGCTGGAGAGTGTCTACAGTCGTAGGGAAAGTGCCAGGGGTTAACCAAGTAGCTAGGCTCTCGCGGGGCGGACTGGAGAAACAGGAGGGGTAGTCTAAGAACGAGAATGCATCGTCGTTAATTGATGGAAGTCTTGCTTCTTGGGTAGCTTACAGCAGGCTTTGTTGCAGCTGGTGACAACAGAGGTAACACAGTTGTAGGTGGAGCAAAGTCAGTGGAAGATCTCCCGGGCCGGAAGCACCGGCGAATCAACAAGAAGTGGAAGATCTAGTCATTGTATGACTAAAACCCGTGCCAGGAAACACTTGTCACGTTACCTTCATTGTATGGTAGACACAGCATCAATTTTTGGTATTAGTCACCCACCCTGTGCCGTCACAAGTTGCCTCTGCTCTGTTATACCATTTCCAGTCTTTTAATTACCCCATCTCATGTCTGGACACTAATTATGGCATCAAAAAAGGAGATTACTAGTGCCACTGGACAACGCTGTATGACCCTTGTGGGTTTGACGTTAAGTTTTCATTGTAATAATAATACTAGTGACATTGAAGTTTAGCGGAAAACAACGCCGCTACTAGTAACATTGAAGTTTAGCGGAAAACAACGCCGCTACTAGTAACACTGAAGTTTAGCGGAAAACAACGCCGCTACTACTAACATTGAAGTTTAGCGGAAAACAACGCCGCTACTAGTAACATTGAAGTTTAGCGGAAAACAACGCCGCTACTAGTAACATTGAAGTTTAGCGGAAAACAACGCCGCTACTAGTAACATTGAAGTTTAGCAGAAAACAACGCCGCTACTAGTAACATTGAAGTTTAGCGGAAAACAACGCCGCTACTAGTAACATTGAAGTTTAGCAGAAAACAACGCCGCTACTAGTAACACTGAAGTTTAGCGGAAAACAACGCCGCTACTACTAACATTGAAGTTTAGCGGAAAACAACGCCGCTACTACTAACATTGAAGTTTAGCGGAAAACAACGCCGCTACTAGTAACATTGAAGTTTAGCGGAAAACAACGCCGCTACTAGTAACATTGAAGTTTAGCGGAAAACAACGCCGCTACTAGTAACATTGAAGTTTAGCAGAAAACAACGCCGCTACTAAAGAAAACTGAGGTGACAGGCTCAAGGTGGCGCACGAATCAATTTAAAAAACTAGTTTGCCTCTTTTCCAGTGTCATGTTACATAACTGTTATTCCTGTAAATTGTTCACTACATCTATAACATACACATTCAAGGACCTAATGGAAATAGGTCACTGAATTCTGTGGGTTACCCTAAGTAATTTACACGTTACTAGGTACGATAATTGTACTTAAGTTTATTCAGGTATAGACAAATAGTTACATAGATTATTATACATAGCAACATATGTGTGGAGAACCTGGGATAACCCAAAAAAGTCAGTGACTTATTTCCACTGGGGTACCTGTACCTAAATAAACTTAATTATAATTATACACGCACAATGTAGCTTAAATCTGAGGCATGTATTCTGCTCGAAAGGGGGGAGGGGGTCTATCGTAGTTCAGTTTCAGGAATGTAATCTGCATGAAAGGTGGGGGTCTATCGTAGTTCAGTTTCAGGAATGTAATCTGCATGAAAGGAGGGGGTCTATCGTAGTTCAGTTTCAGGAATGTAATCTGCATGAAAGGTGGGGGTCTATCGTAGTTCAGTTTCAGGAATGTAATCTGCATGAAAGGTGGGGGTCTATCGTAGTTCAGTTTCAGGAATGTAATCTGCATGAAAGGAGGGGGTCTATCGCAGTTCAGTTTCAGGAATGTAATCTGCATGAAAGGTGGGGGGTCTATCGTAGTTCAGTTTCAGGAATGTAATCTGCATGAAAGGTGGGGTCTATCGTAGTTCAGTTTCAGGAATGTAATCTGCATGAAAGGTGGGGGTCTATCGTAGTTCAGTTTCAGGAATGTAATCTGCATGAAAGGAGGGGGTCTATCGTAGTTCAGTTTCAGGAATGTAATCTGCATGAAAGGTGGGGGGTCTATCGTAGTTCAGTTTCAGGAATGTAATCTGCATGAAAGGTGGGGGTCTATCGTAGTTCAGTTTCAGGAATGTAATCTGCATGAAAGGTGGGGGTCTATCGTAGTTCAGTTTCAGGAATGTAATCTGCATGAAAGGAGGGGTCTATCGTAGTTCAGTTTCAGGAATGTAATCTGCATGAAAGGTGGGGGGTCTATCGTAGTTCAGTTTCAGGAATGTAATCTGCATGAAAGGTGGGGGGTCTATCGTAGTTCAGTTTCAGGAATGTAATCTGCATGAAAGGTGGGGGTCTATCGTAGTTCAGTTTCAGGAATGTAATCTGCATGAAAGGTGGGGTCTATCGTAGTTCAGTTTCAGGAATGTAATCTGCATGAAAGGTGGGGGTCTATCGTAGTTCAGTTTCAGGAATGTAATCTGCATGAAAGGAGGGGGTCTATCGTAGTTCAGTTTCAGGAATGTAATCTGCATGAAAGGTGGGGGTCTATCGTAGTTCAGTTTCAGGAATGTAATCTGCATGAAAGGTGGGGGTCTATCGTAGTTCAGTTTCAGGAATGTAATCTGCATGAAAGGAGGGGGTCTATCGTAGTTCAGTTTCAGGAATGTAATCTGCATGAAAGGTGGGGGGTCTATCGTAGTTCAGTTTCAGGAATGTAATCTGCATGAAAGGTGGGGGTCTATCGTAGTTCAGTTTCAGGAATGTAATCTGCATGAAAGGTGGGGGTCTATCGTAGTTCAGTTTCAGGAATGTAATCTGCATGAAAGGAGGGGGTCTATCGTAGTTCAGTTTCAGGAATGTAATCTGCATGAAAGGTGGGGGGTCTATCGTAGTTCAGTTTCAGGAATGTAATCTGCATGAAAGGTGGGGGGTCTATCGTAGTTCAGTTTCAGGAATGTAATCTGCATGAAAGGTGGGGGTCTATCGTAGTTCAGTTTCAGGAATGTAATCTGCATGAAAGGTGGGGGTCTATCGTAGTTCAGTTTCAGGAATGTAATCTGCATGAAAGGTGGGGGTCTATCGTAGTTCAGTTTCAGGAATGTAATCTGCATGAAAGGAGGGGGTCTATCGTAGTTCAGTTTCAGAATGTAATCTGCATGAAAGGTGGGGGTCTATCGTAGTTCAGTTTCAGGAATGTAATCTGCATGAAAGGTGGGGGTCTATCGTAGTTCAGTTTCAGGAATGTAATCTGCATGAAAGGAGGGGGTCTATCGTAGTTCAGTTTCAGGAATGTAATCTGCATGAAAGGTGGGGGTCTATCGTAGTTCAGTTTCAGGAATGTAATCTGCATGAAAGGTGGGGGTCTATCGTAGTTCAGTTTCAGGAATGTAATCTGCATGAAAGGTGGGGGTCTATCGTAGTTCAGTTTCAGGAATGTAATCTGCATGAAAGGAGGGGGTCTATCGTAGTTCAGTTTCAGGAATGTAATCTGCATGAAAGGTGGGGGTCTATCGTAGTTCAGTTTCAGGAATGTAATCTGCATGAAAGGTGGGGGTCTATCGTAGTTCAGTTTCAGGAATGTAATCTGCATGAAAGGTGGGGGTCTATCGTAGTTCAGTTTCAGGAATGTAATCTGCATGAAAGGTGGGGGGTCTATCGTAGTTCAGTTTCAGGAATGTAATCTGCATGAAAGGTGGGGGTCTATCGTAGTTCAGTTTCAGGAATGTAATCTGCATGAAAGGTGGGGGGTCTATCGTAGTTCAGTTTCAGGAATGTAATCTGCATGAAAGGTGGGGGTCTATCGTAGTTCAGTTTCAGGCTACTCATTTTCTTAACATTGTCGTCATTCAAATAAGAAAAATTCTGCCAGTTTTAATAAATACAGAACTGTTTATTGTATTGTTATTACATTTATAGAGAAGCCATAAACACAAGGGACATACAAAACCTGGGAAAATGGGAAGTAATCAATTTTGATGTGAGGAAAGGAAGGGGTAACTATTATAATCATGGGGAGAGCTAAACCCGTAAAGATTATACAACGCCTGTGGGAGGGGGGGATGGAAGGTACTCAGGCTTAATTCAGGGAACTGGAGCACAGATCCAATTCCCTAGATCAAGAACCCCTCACCAGCGTCGAGCTTCCCTTGAAGGGGCCCTAGATCAAGAACCCCTCACCAGCGTCAAGGAACCTCCTTTGAGGAGCCTTAGATCAAGAGCCCCTCACCAGCCTCAAGGAACCTCCCTTGAGGGAGGGGGAGATAACTCTCAATCATTGTTATATTCACAGGGGTAACGATAATAAAATCGTAGGAGCCATAAGCAATCAAACATTGTTTTTTCAGGATGGTTGGTGTTATAGGCGAGCTCAAGAAAGAAGTTGAAGAAAAGGAATCAACTCGAGAAGACTTATCCAGTCGTCTTGATGGGACCCTGAAGGTGCTGGCAGGTGTTCGGGCGGGTCTAGAACATGTTGCTGAGAAGCTGGAGGTCAGGATATGTCTTACTGGAAAAGAACAGAGGCATAATACATTAACCCGCAAATAGGAAAGATAGAAGCTTATGACGATGTTTCGGTCAGAATTGGACAATTTAGTTACAGTGTAAGCTTATTCAGGTATACACAAATAGTTATCATACATAGAAGAATATGTGTGGACAACCTAGAATAGCCCAAAAAGAGTCAAAGTGATTCACTTCCATTGGGGTCCTTTGTAAATGGTCAATTATTATAATAAAAAAGAAGCGCTAAGCCACAAGGGCTATACAGCATGTAAATAGTCAGTTAGACCGAAACGTCGTCGTAAGCTTTTCTCTTCTATCTTGGGGCTATTTATGTGTGTCTCGTTAGGTTTTCATCCTTTCTAAATGGCTAGCTTAGATGATTTACTTATATCCATTATGATTTTTGACTAATTTTGATTTGAACCCTGTGAGAAATTTTGGGTGAATTTCACAGGTACAATCCCGAATATTTCACACACACACATAACTGGGAAAAACTCTGGCGTACATAAAACAGATTATACTTACTGTTAAAGTTGTACCTGACAGACAAGTGGGACTTTAAGAACAGTGGGTCACTGCACTGTCACTCCTTCGATGCCCACTTCACCTCGTCAAACTCACACATCTGGACCTTAAATTTGAACGTATAGTTTTTGAACTTATTTAATAACATATTCCAAGCCAGTAACACTGGCTGTATTAAATTTGGTTAACACTAATAACAATATATATATATATATATATATATATATATATAATATATATATATATATATATATATATATATATATATATATATATATATATATATATATATATTATGAAAAATTTATTGTACTCAGACGGTCTAAAGTAATTTGTTGGTCCATTGGTTTAATTAATTATACACACGACTATTATATTACATAAAATTAATACAATTATAAGCGAGTGTACATAAAACACCCTACTGTTCCTTGGGCTTTATATTCTAACGCCTCCTCATAGGCAGGCAACTAATATTGGCTAATAGTTACATTACCTGTTGTGTGAGAATTAAAACAGTGGGAGGCGAGAAGACATTATTACAATCCATGTGGTGCGCAAATCTTCGTTACCACCGCCTCTCATTTTCTATTATTATCAACATTAATCTGATAGTTGCATTGAACATCTGTATTATTCCAGATGCTCTCCACATTAACTTATTTCATAGCACCAAATTTATGTTGATGCTATTTCTATCGGCGTCGATTATGTCCGATTAATTACAACACTAAATCCAACGTACGCATTACGCCATATTTCAGCTTCCTCCTCCAGAACGTTTTCCTATACATCTTCTCATTTAATTTAGTAACACTTCTAGGTTTGTAATACATTGCCATTATTCTAATATTATTTTATTTTTAACATTATAATAAGTATACCAGGAAAAGTGTACGGTAGGGTTATAATTGAAAGAATTAGAGGTAAGACAGAATGTAAGATTGAGGATGAGCAAGGAGGTTTTAGAGTGGGTAGGGGATGTGTAGATCAAGTGTTTACGTTGAAGCATATATGTGAACAGTATTTAGATAAAGATAGGGAAGTTTTTATTGCATTTATGGATTTAGAAAAGGCATATGATAGAGTGGATAGAGGAGCAATGTGGCAGATGTTGCAAGTATATGGAATAGGTGGTAAGTTATTAAATGCTGTAAAGAGTTTTTATGAGGATAGTGAGGCTCAGGTTAGGGTGTGTAGAAGAGAGGGAGACTACTTCCCGGTAAAAGTAGGTCTTAGACAGGGATGTGTAATGTCACCATGGTTGTTTAATATATTATAGATGGGGTTGTAAAGGAAGTAAATGCTAGGGTGTTTGGGAGAGGGGTGGGATTAAATTATGGGAATCAAATTCAAAATGGGAATTGACACAGTTACTTTTTGCTGATGATACTGTGCTTATGGGAGATTCTAAAGAAAAATTGCAAAGGTTAGTGGATGAGTTTGGGAATGTGTGTAAAGGTAGAAAGTTGAAAGTGAACATAGAAAAGAGTAAGGTGATGAGGGTGTCAAATGATTTAGATAAAGAAAAATTGGATATCAAATTGGGGAGGAGGAGTATGGAAGAAGTGAATGTTTCAGATACTTGGGAGTTGACGTGTCGGCGGATGGATTTTATGAAGGATGAGGTTAATCATAGAATTGATGAGGAAAAAAGGTGAGTGGTGCGTTGAGGTATATGTGGAGTCAGAAAACGTTATCTATGGAGGCAAAGAAGGGAATGTATGAAAGTATAGTAGTACCAACACTCTTATATGGGTGTGAAGCTTGGGTGGTAATACAGCAGCGAGGAGACGGTTGGAGGCAGCGGAGATGTCCTGTTTAAGGGCAATGTGTGGTTGTAAATATTATGCAGAAAATTCGGAGTGTGGAAATTAGGAGAAGGTGTGGAGTTAATAAAGTATTAGTCAGAGGGCAGAAGAGGGGTTGTTGAGGTGGTTTGGTCATTTAGAGAGAATGGATCACAGTAGAATGACATGGAAAGCATATAAATCTATAGGGGAAGGAAGGCGGGGTAGGGGTCGTCCTCGAAAGGGTTGGAGAGAGGGGGTAAAGGAGGTTTTGTGGGTAAGGGGCTTGGACTTCCAGCAAGCGTGCGTGAGCGTGTTAGATAGGAGTGAATGGAGACGTATGGTACTTGGGACCTGACGATCTGTTGGAGTGTGAGCGGGTATATATTTAGTGAAGGGATTCAGGGAAACCGGTTATTTTCATATAGTCGGACTTGAGTCCTGGAAATGGGAAGTACAATGCCTGCACTTTAAAGGAGGGGTTTGGGATATTGGCAGTTTGGAGGGATATGTTGTGTATCTTTATATGTGTATGCTTCTAGACTGTTGTATTCTGAGCACCTCTGCAAAAACAGTGATAATGTGCGAGTGTGGTGAAAGTGTTGAATGATGATGAAAGTATTTTCTTTTTGGGGATTTTCTTTCTTTTTTGGGTCACCCTGCCTCGGTGGGAGACGGCCGACTTGTTGAAAAAAAAAAAAAAAAAAAAAAAAAAATTATAATAAGTACGTTTTACTTGATTAAAATAAAAAAAATTAGTAAATTATAAGGGATGTTGGTGCCTCTGCGGCTTAACATCTTTTAAAAGTCACATGAACACTATAATCCCCAGCAGTTTTTGTACACAAATTACGGGAAAATTATTTAAAATTTTCACTGACCCTTCAGGTTTCATGCACTTACCAAGCAGTTAGATTATTATTATATTATTATTATTATAATCAAGGGGGAAGCGCTAAACCCGGAGGATTATACAGCGCCTGGGGGGGGGGGATGTGGAAGGCATTCAGGCTTAATTCGGGGAACTGGAGCACAGATCCAATTCCCTAAATCAAGAGCCCCTCACCAGCATCAAGGAACCTCCTCTGAGGGGTTCCTGACCCCAGATACTGTTATATGGGTTACTGCACTATTTCCAACATTCCCAAATTTATCAGCTTGCTACTCTCATGGCCATTTCACTCTCATATTACATAAATCAGTCACAAGGGAAGTATAGTAAAACTATTATTGTCTATGTTCACATTTTGTAGTCTATAATTCATTTTTCCATAATTCATTGTCATTGGAAATGCTATCAAATATATACGCCAGCAAATTTCATCTATATAGTAGTATATCACTGATGTCAGCTCTAGTCTGTATAACTTGTATCATTTACTTGTAGTAAAACAATAATTATTAACAGACATCAGAGCAGGAACGACCCCCTAGGGCCGAGTCTCCACTCGAGTACCTCTTGGTACTCATGGAGTACTGTAAAGAGCGAGCACAGGATCTTATGGAAGAAGTCACACCAGCACAGATTGAACACAAGGTAAAGTAAAATCTCTCTGAATACACTATTGTTATTCTTACTATATTATTATAGTCAGAGAAGGGAAAGTGTTAAATCCGTGAAGGTCATAAAGCACCTGGGGAATGGGAGACTGATCCAAGGGAAGAGCAGGTTCAGTTCATTGGATCAAGAGCCCTTCAACATTAAGGAACCTCCTTTGAGGGGTTGATTGTTACAATTAAAACTAAGCGCTAAACCCACAAGGGTCATACAGCGTTGCAGGGTAGGGTGTACTAAAGATGAAATATACCAGATTATAATAAAAAAGCGCTAAGCCACAAGGGCTATACAGCTGAAATATACCAGAACAGTGACCAGCGAGGATGAGAAGGTAACTGGAGGTGTTGCTAGACCATCACCTCTGATTGTCAGTCTATCACAGCAAGTCTTATTTTTATGAGAGGTGGGGGTAGCATTAAACCCATACGGGTTATACAGCATCAGGGAAGGTGTGAAGTAATGACGTTCATTCAAAGGAAGAAGACAGGTCCATATCCTTCAACTGTATCAGAGAAGATACAATTTAATGTCAGGTACCCTCCCTTTGCCTGCTCTCCTTTCGTCAATACCGACTTTTTAGCTGAAACTACTTATGTCAACTCTGATTTTCCTTATTAGCTCATAAAATTACCCTTCACACTATACAGTCCTTGGACAATAGCGCCCTCGTTGTTATAGGAGTACAGCCCATAATTGTTATACAGCACCTAATAGACTGGAGAACATTCAGGTTAAATCTAAACGGGAAGACATATCCCATTCCCTGGACTAGGAGCCCCTCACCAACTTCGAAGGAATATTATTATTATAAACAAAAAGAAGCGCTAAGCCATTCGAAGGAATAACTACCCTCAACTCTGCCTTGCTTTACAATCTTTACATGTGAATATAATAGTAATATACAATCTAAGTTTGATTAAAAAGGTTCAGTTGACTGTATATCTTAGATGACATATTTTAGAAGGTTACACTGTGCATACATAATAATTTATTTTTATATTTTAAAGCTGGCCGAGATGGCAGAAGAGGAAAAAGAAAATGGAGGAATGATGACATCACCAGAGAACATTAGAGTATCTTTCCCTGGATCAGGAGCTACAACCAAAGCAGCCCAGCAACAGGTTAGACCAGAATTGTTATATTATTGGAGAAGCACTGAATCCATAAGGAATATTACATTGCCTGAGAAATGGAAAGCAGTCAGTCAGGCTTTATTCTGGATTAGCCTAGGAATGTAATGGAACTGGTGAAACATTATTAGATATATTCCTGAGTAAACAAGTGTTTCTACTTCTAAATTCTACTCTTACTTCATACTGTTGTTATATTATTACTTTAACTAACAAAATAGCTCTGTATCAATATGTCAGGTTTTGACATAATTAAAAATATACTACATTACAAATGGGGTTCTTAAGATGATTTATATTCCCCAGGTGGAAGAGGGTGGAGACAGTGGAGAAGAGGAAGAGAGTTTGACAAGGAAGTTCATCAAGAGACAAGCACAGATGATTGTAGAAGCAAAAGCCCGCAAGAGAAACCGTCCAGTATCTACCTTCAAGTCTTAAACTAAGGAAAGTTTAAAATATCAAACTAGAGTATTACTTGTGAAGGTCATAGATGTGCAACATGCAAAACTTTTTACCTGCATACCTTGAGATGTAGCAGCTTGTCACAGGTGAGCAAATCCTACTAGTGTTAGTAGATTGGTTTACTACCTTGTAATCTAGCTGCTTCCCCTCGAAGGTTGCTTAATGGAAATTATAACTAGGTGCTAAACCCACAAGAGTCACAGTGCTCTCTTGATTCAAGGAGTTGGACTAGTCCTCTTTCTTGGATTGAACCCGTTGCCTCCCATTACCCAAGTCCTTTATGACCCCTACAGGGGTTGTGCTTTTCCCTAAAAATAATCTGCAGTTGCTATACCTTGCTCCAATGTGCAAGTCTCTGGCTTCATGCCTTTGCTTTAGGCGAAGGGACTGATCTCAAAATAATTCCTCCACTTCTTGTCTTTGGAGACAAGTGGAGGAATTATTCTGAGACCAGTCCCTTGGCCTAAAGCAAAAGCCAAGGGAATGGAGCATTTCAGTTGCCTGTATTTGAAGAATTATTATTATTATAATCAAAAGGAAGTGCTAAACTGCATTTGAAAAAGCTTGCCACAAGTGCAATATTTCAAAGATTGATATACCTGGGTGGTGGAAGTGTCTCAGTCTTTTTTATACATTGTATATCAAAAGAGGTCAGAGCACAAAAGGAATGGGGTTTGGTACAAGGGTAGTTCCTTGGATCAAAAGTCTTTCAGTACCAAGGAACCTTGAAGTATCTACTGTATTGATAGGAGTTATACATAAATGGTGAACTTTAGTTATCTGAAAATAGTGTGTACTTCAGGGATTTTTAAAATACTAATTGAGAATGTTATCATGGATATATTAATGTATGTAAATTCGTCAATGAAATACACTTTGTAAATGTGCTCTTTTCAAATTGGTGCATTTAAATTTTTCAGTTTAATCATTGTATACTGTATACAGTATTAATTTATTCCTTTTCTATTATGTATAGTATAAGGGAAAGCTAAACTGCAGGGGTCATGTAAAGCCTGGGGATTGGGAGGCAAGGGAGATTCTCTCTAATACTTTGAATCAAGGCACTGCCCTTCAAGGAAATGAAATGTTACATTCGTGGGGGAGGGGGGAATACACACTCGGGTTATAGTCAGTACCTCGGGGAATGGGGAAACAAATCAGGTTTGATTCAAGAAAAGGGAGGATAATACAATTCCTTGAATATATTCCTCACTGGCATCAAGACAAGGGGGACCTATGAGGATACTAAGCATAACAATGTTTCTACAAGAGATTACCATACTAAACTTATGAAAAGGTATTTTATTACAGATGCTTACATTTAACTCAGCAAGAAAATAATAACTTAACATAGAAATTTAACTTACTCGAAATGTGAAAATTAATAAACAAGCTCTAAAATCTTTTATCAGTGTTTGTTAATGTGAATGTCAAAATTTTTTGTAGTTAACTGAGATAATTACAAGTTTAGTCAAATAAGGTAAAGTAGAAATTATTTGAGGTGCTAAACTCACTAGTCAAAAGTTTGATTCAAGAAAGTAAATAAAATTCCATTGACCAGAATTTCATAAGCATCAAGACACTCATTAAGGGTGAAATAAGGAACTGATTTGCCATCTTGAAGGGCTGTTCTACCCTTTCTTCCCCCTGCAGCCCATTTGGATGCCATGTCATTTTTTTGCTGATTGGACACAACCATCATAACCCAGCTAATCTGTAACTAATGATAATGTCCAACATGAAAAGTACATCTAGTGTCAGTCAAGTTAAGAGGGATTTAAACTTACGTGGGACTTGCAGAATGTGCAGCTAAAGATGCTCACCATATGGTGAACCAGCTTTAACAATAATCACAGGGGTCAAATTGTTTTGCACAGAGCTTCAAAGCTTCTGCTGAAAACTCAGGAACTAATTGCCAATGAACCTATAAGTACAGTATATTAAAAAACTAAACATGTACAAATCCTTCAATGCAGGGCTCACTTAATAAAAATATTCTGCTAGCTACATGCACATAAAACCAATCCACATGAATGAAAATACAATTTGAAGTATTGTTTAACCAAATGAGAATAACTGTCTGAGCAATATGGCAATACATATGTATATATATCTATGTACCTTTGCAACCAAAACATGTACTGTATTTTAAATAATGTAATAGTAATTTTAATTAAACTCCTTCCCTAACACCTGAAAATTTTAATGAATTGAAGAATGTTTATAAAATCAAGAAAAGAAAGGTTTAGTAAAACTATGACTTCCTTCACTTTTTTTATTTATATACATTTTACTTTTTGCCAGTGACAGCTGCATCTTCTGCTGCCTCCTTTGCCTTCTTAGCACGCATACCCCAGTTACGAGCATTAGAACGTTCCTGCAGAAAAGAAAGAAAGAAAAAAAAAATTACCTCAAGATTCCAACACTTTTTTTCTGGAGCTGATGAACTGGGAGAGTTGACCTGGTAGGCACTAAATATAAACAGGTGGTATTCTCAAAATCTGCACTGCTATACAACAAATCTTCCTAAAATGTGGAAAAAAGCATAAAGCCAAAAGATTTCTAATCTTAACTCGTCTAACAATGGCAATTTATAACAAATGCACCTGAAATACTAAGATAAATTTATTAACTGGCTGATTACTCCCCTCCCCCCCAAAAAAATTAAGCCTTACCCTTCGGAGTGCATCAAAGCAGCTGTATTTCTTTGATTTCTTGGTCACTTTCCTTGCCGTATCTTTCCTGGATTTCAGTTTGAAGGGCATAACATCTCCCACCAGCTGCTGGGCCAAAGTCAACTCCTGAGGCTGTTAAAAAAAAAAAAAATATCTTAATGCAACAGTACAAATTAAATTTTAAATGTTCACAAATTTAAATGGTAACCACTCATAACTGTTTATACAAATATTGTATGCATAATCAATTAGCCTACATAAGTTTGGAGGGATATGTTGTGTATCTTTTTAGGTATATGCTTCTAAGCTGTTTTGGTCTGAGCACCTCTGCAAAAACAGTGATAATGTGTGAATGAAGTGAAAGTGTTGAATGATGATGAAAGCATTTTCTTTTTGGGGATTTTTTCTTTTTTGGGTCACCCTGCCTCAGTGGAAGATGGCTGACTTGTTAAAAAAAAATTGTTCTCCATAAAGAACAGAGCAAAAAAGTGAATGGGGATGAGGAAAAGGATTCTAACCAACTCCTCACTGAACTTGAGAAAAAAAAAAAAACACTAAAAGGATAAGAATTAAGCAATCTGATGTGTATACATGCACACCTGTACATATATGATCCATACTAGATGTAAGAAGCAATTGCAACATATACCTGTCAAATTATACTTTACCTTTGATGGATTTCAAGTTTTGTTTTTAAATATATATTACTCAATTTTTTATCAACTCAACTCACTCAGTAATAGCAAAGCTGCCCACTTACAATCCAGGAGCCTGAATAAATCTGAAGCCAATCCACCCACAGGATCTAGTCACTACCATAGACAATACTGTTATAGGAAAGTATACATCCCCCCTCTGGCTGGATATTCACCAATAATTGGGTTTTTATAAGCAGAAGATGTAATTGCACTACAGCATATTAAAAACTTACAGTAGAATCTGTCTTCTTAGGTTTGTTGGCCTTCAAGGGGAAGAGAATGAGTTTGCTCTTATATTCCTTAAGGCGCTGAACATTCAACTGCAACGACTCCATGGATTTGTTTGTACGGCGATAGTCCACAGAGATGCCAATGGTATGAGCATACCTCTTCCCAAATCCTGCAGCCTGAAGTTTAGTACTAGTTACTAGAAATCACACAACTTAAACTGCATTCATACTAAAAAATACACTAAAAATTGCAAAACTGCAGTTTTTATAGAAAACAAAACTGAAGAATTTAAAAAACAAAAACAAAAAAACACAGCTAACATTACATTTTACAAGAGAAATACCAAGAACTTACAATTAACTTTGTACGATGACACTCTCCTGGTGTGATTAGAAAGTACGGTACACTTAACTGTCAAGTTTTATATTAATATTCTTTAACCCTTTTGGGGTTGGTGCCATAGAAATTCATAGTGAGCTTAGCGCACTCAAATGAGCTATAAGCGGTAAATCTGAGGCCCAGATATGAGAGACTGGGTCTATGCAGTAAGTGTCCATTGTATTAAAAAAAAACCTGCCCCACGCAGTGCATATGGAAAAAAAATGTGACTGTGATTTATGGTGAATGTATTTCATTGACATGCTGTTGGAATGTGCACAAAATAACATTTATGAAGGGATTCAGGAAAACTGATTAGCCAGACTCAAGTTCTGAAGATGGGAAATATAATGCCTGCCTGCACTCAGAACGGTGGGAATATTTGCAGTTTGGAAGTGCATCTGAGCTGTAGTACTGGTGCAAGAGTTTCTTTTTCGGGTCACCCTACCTTGATGGGAGATGGCTGGCATGTTTTTTTATTTTTTTTTTTATTATCACACTGGTTGATTCCCACCAAGGCAGGGTGGCCCAAAAAAGAAAAACTTTCACCATCATTCACTCCATCACTGTCTTGCCAGAAGGGTGCTTTACACTAGTTTTTAAACTGCAACATTAACACCCCTCCTTCAGAGTGCAGGCACTGTACTTCCCATCTCCAGGACTCAAGTCCGGCCTGCCGGTTTCCCTGAACCCCTTCATAAATGTTACTTTGCTCACACTCCAACAGCACGTCAAGTATTAAAAACCACTTGTCTCCATTTACTCCTATTAAACACGCTCATGCATGCCTGCTGGAAGTCCAAGCCCCTCGCACCAAAACCCTCTTTAAAAACCCTTCCCCCCAAACCTTTCCTAGAGCCAAAACCCCTACCCTGCCTTCCTTTCCACTCAGACGTTTACACTCTGAAGTCACTTTTGTTTCGCTCCATTCTCTCTACATGTCCGAACCACCTCAACAACCCTTCCTCAGCCTTGGACAACAGTTTTGGTAATCCCGCACCCCCTTTCCTAACTTCCAAACTACGAATTCTCTGCATTATTTCAAACCACCATTGCCCTCAGACTGACTTTCTCCATGCCTCCAGCCTTCCCCCGCTGAACATTCATCACCCATGTTCCCAACCCATGGCATGTTAAAAAAAAAAAATTACTTTTTGGTGAGTCGAGACCACCTTCTCGTAAACCTTTCTATTTCTTCTTTCAACAACATTGTTCCCCCACAGAGCAGGGTAACCCAACAAAGAGGAAATAATTCACCCTCATTCACTACCGTCTTGTCCCAAAGTGCACCGACTATATTTGGGTGTCTTCCAAACGCTATAAATCTACACTGTTTCCTTCAGAGTGCAAAACTGTACTTCCCACCTCCAGGACTCAAGCCGGCAAATTTCGGGTTCCATGAATCTATTCATGTTACCCTCTTTCACTCTAGCAACATCTACACTTAAATCCTTCAGGGTGCAATATTTGAAAACTTCCCACATTCAGGACTCGAGCAGGATAATCATTTCCTGGAATCTCTTCATAAATGTCCCCCCTACTATTCACTCAAACAGCATGTCAAATTATAAAAATCACTTGCCTACACACACAAGCCTATTGGATGTTCAAGCCACTAGCATACAAAACCTACCTCCAATATATCTCCATTGAGTATAATGTGAACAAAATATTAAGAGCAACAAGACTTAAATAAATTATATAACAGGTTGCTCATCAAGAAAAACTTTGGAAGCTAAATCTGCAAAATAACAAAACCATGTATTTGTAGAGACAAGTACATATATTAAGAACCTCAAAATTTAATCATCTAATTTAATTAGAGAAAATACTAAGCTCACAGAGAGTCATATACTGCATGGAAGCTAGTCAGATTCAAGGAAGAGGAGGACAAGTCCAGTTCCTTTGATCAGGAGACCTTCACGGCTAACCCAATCTTACAGGATGTGGTTATCCAGAAATTTTATTCAAGAAACATGCATAAGCATTACATGATTTGAGAGTATGGCATAATAGCATGTTTCCTCAATTCGTCCATCTATTTTATTATATATATATATATATATAAAATATATATTTATTATATATATATAATATTATATATATTATATATATATAATATATTATATTAATATATTATATATATATATATATATAAATAATAAAAATTTATATATATATATATATATAATTTTATTAATATTTTATATATATATTATATTAATATATATATAATTTTAAATAATTTATATATATATATATAATATATAATAAAATATATTTTATATATATATATAATATATGCCGCACTTTAAAGGAGGGGTTTGGGATATTTGGCAGTTTGGAGGGATATGGTTGTGTAATCTCTATATATATGCTTCTAAACTGTTATATTCTGAGCACTCTGCAAAAAGCAGTAAATATGTGTAGTGTCGTGAAAGGTTGAATGTGAAATTTATTTTCTTTTGGGTTTTCTTTCTTTTTTTTTTTGGGTACCTCCCTGCCTCGGGAACGACCCGCTTGTTAAAAAAAAAAAAAAAAATTATATATAATAAATATATATATTAATATATATATATAATATAATATATATATATATATATATATTATATATATACAGGGGACCCCCGCATAGCGAAACTTAATCCGTGCCAAAAAGGGTGGTCGTTTATGCGAAATGTTCGCTATGCGAAATTATTTCCCATAAGAATAATGGAAAAAAAATTTAATCCTGCAAGAACCCAAAAGTATGAAAAAAAAAATTTTTTTAACCACAAAAAAATGTGAATTTTAGTGACACACAAACTGAAAAAGGCATGCACAATTACATGACAATTACTTTTATTAAAGATCTGGTGATGATTGATGGGATGGGAGGAGGGAGAGAGAGTGTTAGTGTTTAGAGGGAATTCCCCTTCCATTAGGATTTAGGTAGCAAGTCCATTTTCCGGGTTTTTCTCCCTTCTTCTTTAATGCCACTAGGCCCGCTTCAAGTCCGGGCCCCTCTTCGACAACAAATCTGTCCAAAGACTCTGGTACTCCGTCCTTTACTTTTGTCTAAAATGGGCCTAAACATGTCATTGAAATAGTCACCGCACGGCTTGCAACGCTGTGTAGGGTGATTCATCCATAAAGGTTTTGCAGTTCAACACTGTGCACACATTTCCTTATTTTTGAAGAAAGGCACAATGGATTCCACAACTGGCATTGGCTCTCAGGGTTAGCCCAAACCTTCAAATCTTTCTTAATTTCCATACTAATTCTCACCCTTTTTTACACAGGGTTGCACTAGAAGCTTTCTGGGGCCCCATGGTACTTATTTCCAGAAACAGCACGAAAACCTGTAATAATCGAAATTTTCCCGAGTGTATGCTGAATTTTACGCGGAGGCTGGGCCTGGTAAAAATGGACCGTCTCGACGAAGGTCGCTGAGGCGGGTTTTTGTCCACTATGCGGGGAAAAATTTGCGAACAAACGTTGCTAGGGCGGATTGTTCCTATGCAGGCGTTCGCTATGCGGGGGCCCACTGTATATTTTATATATATATTATATTTTAATATATATTTATATATAATAATATATATATAATATATATATATATATATATATAATATATATATATATTTTTTATATATATATTTAAATATATATAATTGGGTTTGGTAGACAGCAACCACCCAGGGAAGTTACTACCGTCCTGCCAGATGACTGTGAAACAAATCCTGTAACTGTTTGCATTGAGGGTAGGATTGCTGTTTTCTTTTCTGTCTCATAAACACGCTAGAAAAACGGGGATATCTTGCTACTCCTACTTACACTTAGTCACATTTCACAGACACACACATGCATATAATATAACATACATCTGGGTTTTTCTCCTTTTTCTAAATAGCTCTTGTTCTTTATTTTTTTCAAATTGTCCATGGAGAAGTGGAAAAGAACCCTTTCCTTCCGTAAGCCATGCGTGTCGTATGGGGCGACTAAAATGCCGGGAGCAATGGGCTAGTACCCCTTCTCCTGTAGACATTTACTAAAAAAGAGAAGAAAAACTTTAAAAACTGGGATGCTTAAATGTGCGTGGATGTATTTGCGGATGACAAGAAACAGATGATTACTGATTTTTATGAATGAAAAGAAGTTGGTGTCCGGGGCCCTAAGCGAAACAAAGCTGAAGGGGGTAGGGGAGTTTCAGTGGGGGAATTAAATGGGATTAAATCTGGAGAAATCTGAGAGAGTTAGAGCAAAGGAAAGGGGTTAGCAGTAATGTTAAATGATCAGTTTGGAAGGAGAAGAGAAAAATAGAATGTGTAATTCAAGAATTATGTGGTTTAAAGTAAAGGTTGGATGCGAGAAGTGGTCATAATAAGCGTGTATGCACCTGGAGAAGAGAGGAATGCAGAGGAGAGAGAGAGATTTTGGGAGATGTTAAGTGAATGTATAGGACCCTTTAAACCAAGTGAGAGAGTAATTTGTGGTAGGGGAACCTGAATGCAAAAGTAGGAGAAACTTTTAGAGGGGGTGTGGTAGGTAAGTTTTGGGGGGGCCAGGTGTAAATGATAATGGGAGCTCTTTGATTGAACTTTGTATAGAAAGGGGTTTAGTTATAGGTAATACATTATTTTAAGAAAAAGAGGATAAATAAGTATACAAGATATGATGTAGGGCGAAATGACAGTAGTTTTTTGGATTATGTATTTGGTAGATAAAAGACTGTTGAGTAGACTTCAGGATGTACATGTTTATAGAGGGGCCACAGATATATCAGATCACTTTCTAGTTGTAGCTACACTGAGAGTAAAAGGTACATGGGATACAAGGAGAATAGAAGTATCAGGGAAGAGAGAGGTGAAGGTTTATAAACTAAAAGAGGAGGCAGTTAGGGTAAGATATAAACAGCTATTGGGGGATAGATGGGCTAATGAGAGCATAGGCAATGGGGTCGAAGAGGTATGGGGTAGGTTTAAAAATGTAGTGTTAGTGTGTTCAGCAGAAGTTTGTGGTTACAGGAAAGTGGGTGCGGGAGGGAAGAGGAGCGATTGGTGAAATGATGAGTAAAGAGAGTAGTAAGGGAGAAAAAGTTAGCATATGAGAAGTTTTTACAAAATAGAAGTGATGCAAGGAGGGAAGAGTATATGGAGAAAAAGAGAAAGGTTAAGAGAGTGGTGAAGCAATGTAAAAAGAGAGCAAATGAGAGTGGGTGAGATGTTAAGAAAGTTAAGAAACCCTAGAGAACAAATGGATTTGTCAGTTAAAAATAGGAGAGGAGAGTTATTAAATGGAGAGTTAGAGGTATTGGGAAGATGGAGGGAATATTTTGAGAAATTGTTAAATGTTGATGAAGATGGGGAAGCTGTGATTTCGTGTATTGGACAAGGAGGAATAACATCTTGTAGGAGTGAGGAAGAGCCAGTTGTGAGTGTGGGGGAAGTTCGTGAGGCAGTAGGTAAAATGAAAGGGGGGAAGGCAGCCGGGATTGATGGGGTAAAGATAGAAATGTTAAAAGCAGGTGGGGGGTATAGTTTTTGGAGTGGTTGGTGCAATTGTTTAATAAATGTATGGAAGAGGGTAAGGTTTCCTAGGGATTGGCAGAGGCATGCATAGTTCCTTTGTATAAAGGCAAAGGGGATTTAAAAAAGAGTGCAAAAAATTTTGGGGATAAGTCTGCTGAGTATACCTGGTAAAGTGTATGGTAGAGTTATTATTGAAAGAAATTAAGAGTAAGACGGAGAATAGGATAGCAGATGAACAAGGAGGCTTTAGGAAAGGTAGGGGGTGTGGACCAGGTGTTTACAGTGAAACATATAAGTGAACAGTATTTAGATAAGGCTAAAGAGGTCTTTGTGGGATTTATGGATTTGGAAAAGGCGTTTTGACAGGGTGGATAGGGGGGCAATGTGGGAGATGTTAAAGTGTATGGTCTAGGAGGTAGGTTACTGAAAGCAGTGAAGAGTTTTTACGGATAGTGAGGCTCAAGTTTAGAGTATGTAGGAAAGAGGGAAATTTTTTCCCCCGTAAAAGTAGGCCTTAGACAAGGATGTGTGATGTCACCGTGGTGGTTTAATATATTTATAGATGGGGTTGTAAGAGAAGTAAATGCGAGGGTCTTGGCAAGAGGCGTGGAGTTAAAAGATAAAGAATCACACAAAGTGGGAGTTGTCACGCTGCTCTTTGCTGATGACACTGTGCTCTTGGGAGATTCTGAAGAGAAGTTGCAGAGATTGGTGGATGAATTTAGGTGGGTGTGCAAAGAAAAAATTAAAGGTGAATACAGGAAAGAATAAGGTTATGAGGATAACAAAAAGATTAGGTGATGAAAGATTGAATATCAGATTGGAGGGAGAGAGTACGGAGGAGGTGAATGTATTCAGATATTTTGGGAGTGGACGTGTCGGCAGATGGGTCTATGAAAGATTTAGGTGAATCATAGAATTGATGAGGGGAAAAGAGTGATGGTGCACTTAGGAGTCTGTGGAGACAAAGAAAATTGTCCTTGGAGGCAAAGAGGGGAATGTATGAGAGTATAGTTTTACCAACGCTCTTATATGCGTGTGAGGCATGGGTGATGAATGTTTTCAGCGAGGAGAAGGGTGGAGGCAGTGGAGATTCATGTCTGAGGGCAATGTGTGGTGTGAATATAATGCAGAGAATTCGTAGTTTGGAAGTTAGGAGGAGGTGTTGGAAATTTCCAAAACTGTTGTCCAGAGGGCTGAGGGGAAAGGGGTTTTTTAGGTGGTTCGGACATGTAGAGAGAATGGAGCGAAAAAGAGTGACTTCAAGAGTGTATCAGTCTGTAGTGGAAGGAAGGTGGGGTAGGGTCAGCCTAGGAAAGGTTGGGGGAGGGGTAAAAGGAGGTTTTGTGTGCGAGGGGCTTGGACTTTCAGCAGGCATGCGTAAGCGTGTTTTGATAGGGGTGAATGAGACAAATGGTTTTTAAATACTTGACGTGCTGTTGGGGTGAGAGCAAAGTAAAAATTATGAAGGGGTTCAGGGAAACCGGCAGGCCGAACTCGAGTCCTGGAGATGGGAAGTACAGTGCCTGCACTCTGAAGGAGGGGTGTTAATGTTGCAGTTTAAAAACTGTAGTGTAAAGCACCCTTCTGGCAAGACAGTGATGGAGTGAATGATGGTGAAAGTTTTTCTTTTTCGGGCCACCCTGCCTTGGTGGGAATCGGCCAGTGTGATAATAAAAAAAAAAATAAAATATATATATATATATATGGGTCACCCTGCCTCGGTGGGAGACGACCGACTTGTTGAAAAAAAAAAAATATATAAAAATTCTACGCCACACATAATGAGCTGTAGTCTTTAAACCATGGTACGGGTGAGGACCAAACTTGTGGATAGTGAATCGTAAAACTACAGATTAGCTACTAGCAGCAAGTTCAATCCCCGCCAGTACCGTGGTTTGTTGGTAATAGTGTCGTTATTTCATGAATCTTTCTTTGATTATGTAATCATATACAGCACCAAAGTACAGCACATTTATCAGTCATCAGAAAATTAAAAATAAAATACATACAATAAAAATACTATCTAACCTTGAGCTCCTCCAAAGTGAAGCCCCTTTGCCCAATCGCTGCTTTGTGTTGTACCTGGAATTAAATTAACACATATAGTAATACTACTTTATTTCTTATTTTATAGTGCAAATGTGATAACTGTAAATATATGTAAATTGACATGCTAACTAGGTATGAAAAAAAGCTTCAAAGTACAGTATGATCCATTATATTAAATCTCTACCCTACAGTAAACTAAAAACCTTAAAGAAATGCACAAAATAAGCATATTCGACTGAAGCTGCCACCGATTCAAATAGAGAAAATTGAAACTTAAAATATTTAAGTACAGTACAATATTTAGAAAAAAAAAGGGGGTATATCTGATGGTGGATATGGGGAGGCAAAATACAAATCCATAAGAGTCCTCGAGGTATGAAGTACAATTCGTGCATTCTGAAGCAAGGGAGCTGTATAGCCCTTGTGGCTTAGCGCTTCTTTTTGATTATAATAATAATGAAGCAAGGGTGGGGATGCTGTAGTTTGAAGGGTAATTTGAATTGTAATGCTTGAACTCTTTATTGCAAGACAGCTACTTAAAGAATGATTATGAATGCTTCTTGTTATGGGCTGCCCTACCTTAGTGAGAGACAAGTGTGGCAAGATTTTAGCAATTTTGAAAAATTCTACAATATTTAATATTTTTGTTTCATCAAAAGTAAACAATAGCCCACAGCAGGTGCAGCGAAATAAAAAATATACTGAACAGTAGGTAGTAGGTTGGTAGACAGCAACCACCCAGGGAAGTACTACCGTCCTGCCAGATGACTGTGAAACAGAAACCTGTAACTGTTTTGCATGATGGTAGGATTGCTGGTTTCTTTTTGTCTCATAAACACGATAGATAACAGGGATATCTTGCTACTCCTACTTACACTTTGGTCACACTTCACAGACATGCACATGCATATATATATACATACATCTAGGGTTTTCTCCTTTTTCTAAATAGCTCTTGTTCTTCTTTATTTCTTCTATTGTCCATGGGGAAGCGAAAAAGAATCTTTCCCCCGTAAGCCATGCGTGCGTATGAGGCGACTAAAATGTGGGGAGCAATGGGCTAGTAACCCCTTCTCCTGTAGACATTTACTAAAAAAGAGAAGAAAAACTTTATAAAAATGGGATGCTTGAATGTGCGTGGATGTGTGCGGATGACAAGAACAGAAGATTGCTGATGTTATGATGAAAAAGAAAGTGGATGTCCTGGCCCTAAGTGAAACAAAGCTGAAGGGGGTAGGGGGGTTTCGGTGGGGGGAAATAAATAGGATTAAATCTGGGTATCTGAGAGTGTTAGAGCAAAGGAAGGGGTAGCAGTAATGTTGAGGATCAGTTATGGAAGGAGAAAGAGAATATGAATGTGTAAATTCAAGAATTATGTGGATTAAAGTAAAGGTTGGATGCGAAAAGTGGGTCATAAAAGCGTGTATGCACCTAGAGAAGAGAAAGGAATGTAGAGGAGAGAGAGATTTTGGGAGATGTTAAGTGAATGTATAGGAGCCTTTGAACCAAGTGAGAGAGTAATTGTGGTAGGGGACCTGAATGCTAAAGTAGGAGAAACTTTTAGAGAGGGTGTGGTAGGTAAGTTGGGGTGCCAGGTGTAAATGATAATGGGAGCCCTTTGATTGAACTTTGTATAGAAAGGGGTTTAGTTATAGGTAATACATATTTTAAGAAAAAGAGGATAAATAAGTATACAAGATATGATGTAGGGCAAAATGACAGTAGTTTGTTGGATTATGTATTGGTAGATAAAAGACTGTTGAGTAGACTTCAGGATGTACATGTTTATAGAGGGGCCACAGATATATCAGATCACTTTCTAGTTGTAGCAACACTGAGAGTAAAAGGTAGATGGGATACAAGGAGAATAGAAGCATCAGGGAAGAGAAAGGGTGGGGGTTTTTAAACTAAAAGGGGGAGGCCCCCAGTTGGGTTAAGATATAAACACTATTGGAGGATGATGGGCAAAATGAGAGCATGGGGCAAGGGGGTTCGATGGTTGGGGTGGGTTTTTTAAAAAGGGAAATTTGTTTAGAGTTTTTCAGCAAAAGGGTTTGTGGTTACAGGAAAAGGGGGGTGCGGGGGGGAAAAGGGGAAAGCGATTGGGGGAAAATGAGGGAATTTAAACATAAGAACGAAGGAACCTGCAGAAGGCCTACTGGCCCATCCGAGGCGGCCCAAAGTCCCCTACCGGCTTAAGCCAATGCCCCCAAACCCAGTCAGGTCAGGTCACATTAAATTAAGGGAGGAACAGGGGAAAACCGCCCTGGTAGCAAAAGCTATCGGGTTTAAAACTCACCCCCACCCACATTCCCAAATTTATTTACCCAAACCTTTTTTTAAGCTAAAACAACGTTTGGCCTTTTAACGGAAATTTGGGGGAGTTTTTTTTCCCCCCTCACCCAAACAACCCCTATTACCAAAACCCAAATATTTTTCCTATACCCTTTTCCGGGAAATCTAAATTTTTTCCAAATTTTAAAACCCATTGCTGGATCCTGTCTAGGCTAGATTTTTTCAAAAACACTATTTACACCCCTTTAATTTATTCCTGTCTTCCATTTATACACCTCAATCATACCCCCCCAAATTTTTGTCTTTCTAGGATTTCAGATTCAGGGCCCTTAGTCTTTTCCTCATGGGGAAAGGTTTTTCTGATACAGGGGTTTCAACTTTGTCACCCTTCCTTTGAAATTTTTCCCCGGGAAAAATTTTTTAATCCATTTTTGTAATAGGTGCCCAAAAAATTTGTCCCAGCAAATCAAAAATGGGGCCAAAACCCAAAGGGGATTTTCTAGAGTTGAAAAAAACCAACCTGAGGACTCCAAATTATTTTTTTGCTTTTTGGGTATGAAAGCCAATTTTTTCAAATTAGTTTTATTGCAAAACACTTATGACTGTTGTTTTGGGTTTTCAGATTACTGCAAAACCAGAACTTCCTAAATTTTTTTTCGAAATCCGAATTTTAAAAGATCTACATTTTTTTGTTTATATGGGCAGGGTTATTGTCCTGCCAACTTTTTTAAAAAACTTTGCATTTTTTCTATATTAAATGCTCTCCCCTTCTCCGCCACTGCATGTCAAATTCAAATCTTCCTGGAGGGGCTCAAATTGTCCCGTCAAAAAGGGAATTGGGAGGGCCCCTTTTTTGGTTCATCCGGGAAACTTGCCGATGTCGCTCTTTATTTCCCCCATCTATGTTTGTTTATGTAGAATTTTGAACAGCAGGGGGGGCCCCAAAACTGGAAACCCCTTTTTTGGGGGGGGAAACACCGCTCATGACGGGTTCCCCAATCTGATTTCTCCCCCTTTTTGGGAAACTCTTGGGCCGCCTAATTTTTCAAACCTTTCCCCCTACCAGGGGAAAAAAATTTTTCCCCTATTTTCCCTGTGCTTTAATTTTTCCCCAATAGTCTTGAGTGGGACCCTGTCAAAAGCCCCACCCGAAGTCCATATACCAAAAATCATAATTCATTACGATCTACCTCCTCAAATTTTTTTAGTGAAAAAAGTTAATAAAATTTGTTTTGGCAGGAACGCCCTTTTTTTAAAACCCCCTGGGGGTGAGATTTTGTTGTTTTAAAATTTTGCTTTTTCCCCAAAGGGGGCTACAACTGCCCCCGGCAAAATTTTTGATTTCCCCTAAAAATTTTTTCCCCTATTGGGGGTTTGGCTTATTGGGGTTTTAAATTCGAAAACTAAGGGCCTTTGGCACCCCGTTTTTGAAAATAGGTAACCCCCATTTTTGCCATTTTCCACTTATCTGGCACCTTTCCAGTTTTTTAAATGATATGTTGAAAAGATTAGCCAAAGGTGGGGGCGCTCCCCCTTTACATTCCTTTTTGAACCCCCTTTTTATACAGTTCATCAGGGCCTGGGGGTTTGTTAGGTTTTAAATTTTCTATTTGCCTAAGGACCTGACACTTGTGACCCCCAATTGTCCAGTTTTTTTAAACCTCCCGTTTTTACCTAATTTATCATTACTGGGAAAATCGCTGGTATCCTCCTGTGTAAAAACTGAGAGGAATTTTGGTTTTAAAAAATTTTACACATTTCCTTTTCACTTCAGTGAAACTGACCCAAGGAAATTTTTGGGGTGGGCCCATCTTGTCCCTGTCTTACTTCTGTATACCTGAAAGAATCCTTTTGGGTTAGCTTCGATTCTTGCAACTTTAACCTCATAATCTCTTTTGCTTTCTAATTCCTTTTTTATTGTCTCTTTATGAATAATCGATTTCTCAATTCCCCTCGGTTAGACCCAGCAAATAGCCAGTGCACTCTCATTTAACCAGGATTAATATTGTTAAAATGTGTCAATCCATTAGGATCATTTATGTTTGATCGATTCCGAATTTTGACATTTTGCCACTCTGATGAACTAGAACAGCCTGGAAAAGCATCATAATCGCAACCATCTCACGTACCGACCCGATAGGCCTATTCGCCAGTTCAGGCCACCTAGAGTAATTTTTGCGAGTCCTTGAATCAGCCAGCGAAAGTCAGGACGAGACGTTGCCATTTTTAGGGGAGACCTGATCTTCTAGTGATAACTAAAATTAATGTATTATTATCAACTTCCCTAAGCATCATATCTAACCTCACACATTTATTAAAATACCTTTCACTTACTGGGACTAAAACCCTAGAACCCTCCAGGTTATCCCATTCCTCTACATAGATAGAGTCTGTCACAAAACTGCTTTTAAAACCAATGAAACCTGTGAATGTAATCAAGAAATCTCCATATCCGATAGACTACTAAATATGCTGTCAATTCTCACTAGGGTTCTTCCACAAATTGAATCCTCCCATGTAGCCAACATTATATCTATGTATCCTTCAAATAAATGTCTCATCCCATAACAGAAAATTTTAAGCACCCATATAAACTAAAAAGCAAATTATATAACCCTATACCTAATCACACCTTAACAGATACCATTTTTCCTCGCACACTACCGAGAACTAAGGCTATTACACACAATATTCAAAATTAGTTGAAAAGTATACACAGTTAATATACTAGCAATACAACAAACTTTAAACCCAATATCGATCTGACAATTTCCCTCTGTACGCTATTAGAAACAACAACTCAATTTCCTGTTGACCTTACAGTGACCCAAGTGAAAATAAGCAAAAATTTTCCAGCCTTATCCACCCGTTGACATTCTTTTCAAGCATGTTCCAATCTATCAATGGGTAGCCAGGTCGCATCTGTTATTAGCAATAAATCTCTTTATAGTTACCAAGCCGACTTGTCCCATTAATCAAACCACTGCCTATAAACAACTCCGGCCTTACCCTAGAGCTATTCAGTCAGTAAAACCATAAAAGTCTAGTCCGCTTCAACTGCCTCCGCCCTAAAAACTGACCCTGTCCCCTATTTGAACACTAAATCTCTGCCACCTACTTGTTTGTATTTACTCTCAGCCAGAACTCCTTTGTAACTATTACTGAATTTCACAACCCCAGTGGTCGCGACCCGCACTGCTTGTTTTCACCACGACATATAAAGAATTTTACAAAGTAAAAATTATAAAAGGGAACCGGAAGGTATAAGAATAAAAGAAAGAATCTAAAACCGCTGGCTCGAAGGCAAATAAAAAGAGTACAAATATAAAGTTGGGTTTAGTCTTACACAAATTGTTAAAAAAAAATTTTATAATTTAATTAACAACCTAAAAAAAATGTTTGTCATTTAAAAAGAAAGATTTTAAGGAATAGAAATTGGAAGTTAGGGGAAAATTCTGAAATTTTAATGTTATGAGGACGGTTCTTTCAAGGGAATACATTTTAATAGAAACAGTGTGGTAGGGTGTGTAACAGGTTAAAAGTATGCAGCAAATTTTTTTGGTAAGATGAATGTTAAAACATATATATTTGATTTGGGGCCCAAATTTTAAATTAAGAGGTAAAACCCAGGAGGAAAAACATTTGTTCCTTTATAAGCAAAGGGACAAAGGTGCAAAATTTGGATAGTTTAAAAATTTTTTTTTGTTTTTAATTTTTATTAAAAAAATTTTAAAAAGTAAAAAAAAAATTTAAAAGGGGGGTGTTGGAAGGGTTTTCATAAAATAATTTTAATATTTAGAAAAAAATTTTTTTTTTGGTTTTAAAATTTTATATATAGGGGGGTGTCAGATTTTTTTTATGGGGAATAGGTTATAAAAATAAGGAGTTTTTAAAATAGTTCTAAAAAAGATTAGGGGGAAATTTTTTCCCCCAAAAAGTAGGCCTTAACAAGGATTGTGTTCACCGTGGTTGTTTAATAATTAATAGATGGTTGTAAGGAATAAATGCAGGCTTGGCAAGAGGGTGGAGTTAAAAGATAAAGATCACACATAAAGTGGGATTTGTCCCCGTGCCTTGCTGATGACACGCTCTTGGAGATTTTGAAGAAAGTTGCAGAGTTTTGGTGGATATTTTGGTAGGTGTTGAAAAGAAGAAAATTAAAAGTGAAACAGGAAAGAGTAAGGTATGGGGGATAACAAAAGATTATGACCAACGCCTTAATGGTGTGAACAGGGTAAATGAATAAGCAGCGAGAGAAGCTGAGGAGTGAATGTCATGTCGGGGGCAATGTGTGGTGTGAATATAATCAGAAATTCGTATTTAAGTTAGGGGAGGTGCGGGATTACCAAAACGTTGCCCAGAGGCAAAGGGAAAGGGTTTGAGTGGTTGGGACAGTAGAGAAATGGAGCGAAACAAGTGACTTCAAAGTGAACAGTCTGTAGGAAGGAAGGCGGGTAGGTCGCTAGAAGGTAGGAGGGAGGGGTAAAGGAGTTTTGTTGCGAGGGGCTTGGATTTTTCAGCAGGCATGCGAAGCGTGTTTATAGTGAATGGAGACAAACGTTTTTAATACTTGACGTGCGGGTTGGAGTGGAGCAAAGTAATTTTTAAATGAAGGGTTTCAGGGAAACGGCAAGGCGAACTTGAGTCCTGGAGAGGGGAATACAGTGCCTGCACTTGAAGAGGGGTGTATTTTGCAGTTTAAAAACTGTAGGTAAAGCACCCCTGGCTACAGTGATGGAGTAAATGATGGTGAAATTTTTCTTTTTCGGGCCACCCTGCTTGTGGGAACGCCAGTGGGGATAATAAAAAAATACTAAAAAATAAGAAACCTACTTAAAGGTTGGGCCCGGGACTATGGGCCTTTTATCCTGCCTGGGCCGTGTGCAACACGACGGCTTTAGCCTGCCTCTTGTTGCGACGTCTCTTTTGCGGGCAGGTTGGTTGAACAGTACGAACTTTACTTGCCAGTTTTAAATGAAATGACCATTGTATAACATTTTTTTCTTTTTGACCCAATGATGGAAGAAAAATTTAAAAATCTTGTTACTATATAAAAATCTATAAAAAAATTTCCCTTAGCTATTATATATCAAAATTTGCACTTAACACAAAATTACTGATACAAAAATGGCAAACAAGTCACTTTTTTTTGTGGGTTTCATAGAATTTACACCATGCAGTGAACCCGCTATCCATGTTTACTGAGGCCCAAAATATACCTTAATTTTGAAATAATAAGGCCCCAAGTGTCCAAGTAGAGAAGCTGGCAGTTTTTCAAAGCCAAAGAGAAGCTGTGAAGTGCTTCACATCAGTTAAAGTGTTAATTCTCCACTTATCATGCATAATTTATCAATTAAACTTTATAATAGGTATATATAGGGTTTTCTATTATCCGTGGTTTCAGTATCCACGGAACCCTTTTGGAACGTATCCCCTGGATAAGGGTCCAAACTGAAATGTGATAACTGTACTATGTATACCTGTGCCTTAATAAATTTAATATGTCATCCATGTTCCACATCATCAATCATAAGTATTCAAGATTTTTCTAAAGGCAGGGTCCTGCATTATAAAAATTTATTAAAAATGTCAGCAAGCATCAACCTAACATAACTTAAACCTAAATTATGTTACTGGTTAACTTGTGGTTATACACGAACAAGTACCAAACTTGGTGCCTCGATAACGACCGATGTTTTTAAAGAACGTGGATTTCACGAACACCAGAATGATATCAAAAATTAAGTTTATTAAGTAAGGTATACCACGGTACAATTATAAGACAGTAAATATCAAACAAAGACTAGTAATTACCTGTTAACCCCAAAAAAGTTGATTAGCAAGATTTTCCACTGGGTCCTTGTAGCTGTGTAGCAGAAAACAGCATAGTACCTCAAATATCATGGGGACGTAAACCGTGTAACCATCAAAATGGTAACTTATGATTGCAAACAAATCATACCACGGCGGGTTCTATCCCCGCCCGTGTATGGCTTTTCTGATGTAAATATTAAGTCGATTTAGGTATACGTACACAGAATGTACAATTATATACGTATGATGAATCACCAGGTTTTTAGCGAACATCGTGATTATTGAGGCTTTATTGGTACTTGTTAAAATATAACCACTTGGAAGGTCCTGAGGGATTAGTACCGAACTTGCACACTAAAACCACTGCCTATGAAAGCAAAAGACTCGCAGGAGAGCATTACCGATGAGAGCAGCGCGCCTCGATACACAGAGACAACACATAAGTGTCAGGGGCCCAAGACGTTCACTGCCTCCCTGCATACATAAGGGGATTACCAAATAGACCCTGCAGTCTCAAGCTGGCACTGAAAAGCACCTAAAACATACCTGACCGCCAGGCTGTGGTCGTACGTCAGCTTGCGTCGCCAGCAGCAAACAACTGTTGATCAGACCCGATCCACCATGAAGCTGTCACAGACCGGCCGCGGGGCGTTTGACCGGAACCTCTCCAGGTAATTTAAAAGTGACATAGTTGGTTATATTAAAATTTCTGACAGTTTAAGAAAGCCATTATTATTATAATGAAAAAGAAGCGCTAACCACAAGGTATACAGCAAGAATTATTAAAAACAAAAGTAACCACTTAACCCACAAGGTCATACAGCGGCCTAAATGAAAACAGAGTTTAAACCCAAATAACTTAATTCATTTCAGTTTACCTTACATCAGAACTGACTTTAAAGTATTATTTTAATATAACCCAATTAACTCCCATAAATAAAATATTGTTGGCCGATCCATATAAGGTTGTAAATAGTCAATTAAGTGTGGATAAACTGGATAACCAGTCAAGTATAGCAATTTTTCCTGTAATAGTAATTATCATACTAAGCGCTAAACCCGGACTTACACCTGGAATTATTTGTTTAATTAATTCACGTCAACACAGGGGGATGTCCCTGTTGTGTCACACAAGTATTTGCCTCATCAATATCTAATTTATTGTACATCATGCACTCACACACCTATAACTCACCCATAAATTGTAACACTAACGCACTTGTACAAGGTAACTTGACACACTGAGCAACAATAAAGGAATATTACAAAAATTTCGAGAACATCACAGCACTGACCTCTCGGCTCTCAACTGATGAAAGGACAGAAATACAAAAACAGCAACTGTTCCTTGGTTCTTATATTCTCTCATTTAACTCAAACTTTATACTTCTTTCTTTATTGTATCTTATATACAATCATATTGTTTTGTGTATTGGATATAAGTGTGTAACTAATTTAAGAATGAGCTAATTTAGAATTGACATTATAGAAAATTTAACTTTCATGTTACTACAATAATTTTTCGTTTTTATATAAACTTATTATAATAAAAAAGATACCTAAGTTCTTTTTATAGAGAAATTACCTTACGTGTATTATATTCATAAGGTAACACTAAATACTATTATTGAATATGGTACTCATATGATTAATGTCTTGTTCAACATTATAGTAAAGATCACATGGAATATGTCACTCTGCTATTTGGGTATCAGTTTCCCCAACATATGTGGTATATGATGATAATCTATGTAACTGTATTTTGTATACCTGAATAAATTAATAAAATTGTTTTGCATGGTCATTTAATGCTCCAAGATCCAATGGACATAAATCAATTTGTCACTTTTTTTTGGGGTTATCTAGGTAATTTACACTACGTATGATATATTATTGTATTTATTAAATCAGGGAGGAGCACTAAACCCGAGGATTATACAGCGCCTGGATGGGATGTGGAAGATTCAGGTTAATTTGGGAATGGATTATTATTATTATTATAATCAGGGGAACCTAAACCGGAGGATTATACGCGCCTGGGGGGGATTGAATGCTTCAGCTTAATTCGGGGACTGGAGCACAGATCCATTGTCCTAAATCAGACCCTCACCAACATCAAGAACCTTCCTGAGGGATACTACTGTAAAGGAAAGTCCTGTATATGAGCATTTCCTGGAAATAAGGTCGTTTTATTCCAGGTGCCTCCACCAGTCCACTAACCCAGGTACCTATTATACTGATCGTAACCATGGTACCAATGTCTTATGGAACATGACCCTAGTTTATCCACTGTCCGGGATTCGAATCTGGACCTCGTGTGTGGCGAGTGCGCTAATGATCCAGCTACAGTTAATTAAGTAAATAATTAAGTTAATTCAGGTATACACAAATAGTTACATAGATTAATTATCATACATAGCAGCATATATGTAGAGAACGTAGGATAACCCAGAAAGTTAAACAAAGTGACTTCTTTCCATTGGGATCCTTTTCTTATATAAGTATATTCCATTGCTGAGGTGGGAAAATGTCACTTTTGACTTCATTTAAGGATTATAAAGTTGAAGGAGAAGTGTTTTATCCATATTATTACAATAAAAATTAAGCACTAAGCCCACAAGGGTCATACACTGCTGCTTTATCCATAGGGGTTGTGTGGCACCCAAGGTATGGGAGATATAGTAACCATTTTATCCTAAGAGGACAGCTGCAATTCCATGAATCAAGAGCCCTCCATCAGCATTCAAGAACCTCCTCTGATAGATCTTATGTATTATTAACAGTGTTGTTTTATTTACTAATAAAAGTTACTAATCATTTAAGCGAGTGCCAAATCCAGAGGTCATATACTGCCTGGGAATTTGAAAAGGAATAAGGTTAAATCCAAGGAATGGGAGGTTAAATTCCTAGTTTCAAGCAGTCAGTAAAACAGTCTGATTATACAACACTTAAATAATTTCTAACATCAAATCCATGATTTCATATACTTTTTAAAAATACCTGAATATTGAAAAAAATCGAAAAATATGCTAAAAACGTGTTTTTACTGCATATTTCGACGATTTAGAGCATTTAGAACACTTGTCATAACAAATTCGATCTCATATTATACGTACAATTATTACAAAACTTTGTCAAGCTGTAATGGCTTGACAAAGCTCCTGGAGAGCAAACCACTGCCACAAGAAAACATTGCATTAGTTTCACTTGTATCCTCTTACTTAACGTATTATCAGTAATTCTACCAACATTACTATAATCATAACTAAGCGCTAAACCCAAAAGGGTCATACAACGCATTAGGTTAGGGCATACTAAAGGTGTTCGCGAAAATCTAAATTATTTCATATTTTGGCTTCCATGGTGGTTGGAGGCATTTTTTGACATTCCTCATTTAGCTAAAATATGCCAATTACACTTAATTGAAAGTGACGATAATTTAAGATTGTTTTTTTAACATGCTTGATCAAAGACTAACACAGGAGGAAAGTATAAGAGGTAGATTAGTAACTTTGGTGACAAGTGCTAAAGGAAGTATAAAGTTTGTGCAATAAATCTGTTGCTATCAAAAAGTCAAATAGAAAGCCTATGTCAAAGGTGGTCATATTATAGAAATCATGATTACAAAGCAAGTAATATGCCATTCTGATTTATATTTCTGAAGTTTAATCAGTATATTATTTCAGTATATTAGTTGTGAAGCATGGGTTGTAAATGCTTCAGCGAGAAGGCAGCTAGAGGCAGTGGAGATGTCCTAAGGGCAATGTGTGTAAATATTATGTAGCAAATTCATGGTGTGGAAATTAGGTGGTGGTGTGGGGTTATTAAAAGTATTAGTCAGAGGGCTGAAGAGGGGTTGTTGAGGTGGTTTGGTCATTTAGAGTAAATAGAACAAAGTAGAATGACTTGGAGAGCGTATAAATCTGCAGGGGAAGAAGGCAGGGGAGGGGTCAGCCCCGAAAAGGTTGGAGGAAGGGAGTAAAGGTGGTTTTGTGGGCAAGGGGCTTGGACTTCCAGCGCGCGCACGTACGTACGTGTCGTGTGTGTGTGTGTGTGTGTGTGTGTTAGATAGGAGTGAATGAAGATTAATGGTTTTTGGGACCTGACGAGCTGTTGGAGTGTGAGCAGGGTAATGTTTTGTGAAGGGATTCAGAAACCGGTTAGCCGGACTTGAGACCTGGAAATGGGAATTAAAGTGCCTGCACTTTACAGGAGGGGTTTGGGATATTGGCAGTTTGGAGGAACATCTGAACGGTCATATCTGGGCACCTCTGCAAAGACAGCGATTATGTATGAGTGATGGTGAAAGGTGTTGAATGAGGAAAGTTTTTTTTTATCTTTCTTTTTGGGTCACCCTGTCTTGGTGGGAAACAACCGAAACGTTAAAAAAATTAGTCCCCTTCTTCTCTTTCTTTAAACTATAGTTGGCAAATGTAACCAGTGCAAGGGGACTTTTAATGCTTAGCTGGGTCAAGGTTTCTCTCATCCTTTAGAGCTTTACAGAGGTTATAATATGCTGGAGTTTTTGAACTGTACTCTCCACATGCCTCTGGCAAGACAGTGATGGAATGAACAATGGTTGTGTTCATTCTTTTTCAGGTCATCCTGCCCTGGTGGGAAATGGCCGATGTGTTAATAAATAAAATTAAGCCTACTTCCCATTGGTCAACCATATGTTGTGGGAATTCCCATTATTTTAATATTTGAAAACAAATCCACACCTATGGTGGGACTACCCAGCCAGTGCAGGCCAAAGCAATGATGAAGACTATTATTATCTAGTCTTCATAAAGGCTAAATATGCAAGGTTCACACACCACCTGGAAATGTTATGTAATCGGGCTTCATTAATGGGGAGAGTAGCTCCAATCCTTAGGATCAAGAGCCCTTAACTAGTATAACCTCCCGTTATTGCCAACCATTGAGGAAATTACAAAAAACTTCCCATAACAGAACACGATACCGAGAGTACACAAGAAAAAAGGAACACTGCAGCAGACCTACTGGGCCATGTGAGACAGGTCCAAGTGTCCTACTGGTTCAAGCCAATGACCCAACCTAGTCTGGTCAGGTCACATCCACTTAAGAAGCACAGCATCATATCTTCTAGCACAAGCTAGTCAGGTCCAAACCCACTCGTGTATTTAACCACAAACAGAACACACTGATTCTATTCTCTTCTCTTGCCTGTAAAGTAGTATTGAACCTTAAAATGCAATATCCTAAAGGCAAATTAGACAAAACAAGAACTTGTACAATTACATTTTATTTCGATTTATTAACCACACCACAGCAGTCTTGACACATTCACTCAGTGGTCTCATAGTATGCATTTATCACTCAAACATAGCTTACGCAGACAAAAATATAGCCACTTCTTATGTTTGCAAGTATCTTATCTGTTGTCTGATGAATTATTCCTAAATGTTCATATAAATAGTTTTACACTCCTCAAACTTTAAATGTACAGCTAACATTAAAAAATTTAATAAGATCCTTATGAAATACAGCACTAGAAGTGAAAATAATGGATACCCAAATCATATTTTCTGCAAGTAATGAATTTAACATCCCATTCTCCATCACTCAAATTAAGCATTTTCTGGTTTGGATGTTCATGAAAAAATGTGACATTGATTTTGTTTACAATGACATTAGTGTTAATTTTTTTACACATACTGACCTTAGGTAGAATACTGGTGCTGTTGCTAACCCTAGAAACTTTAAAGAGTATTATAAAACAGTTCAACATTTCTCCTGGCTACACTCATTACCATTTTACTCTAATGACCTTTGCTTTCCTACACATTGCAAAAATTTTGGTTTTCACAAGTCTTGCTATCTTCATTCTTTTATGTACAGTATTGTAATTGATTTTCTAAACAGCTCGAAAGTCGTGTTTAAAAACTAGTATCATACCAACAGACTTCATCCAAATCATGGAATGGGTGGGGACTTGAACCCATGCTAAGTGTTCTAAACCCCACAGGCCAGCTATTCAAGCTCACCCGTTCCCTGATTTAATTGCGATCATGTTATTGTGATTTTGTGAGTCAGACTTAATCCAAGGTACCAAACTGTGAATTCCAAATGGATTTAAATGCATATTTTATTTAGTACATGGATTCTAAATGCAGCAAAAGTGCAAAATAGTGATATATTTTCCTTATAAATTAATAATCCTCAAGCTGTGAAATACAAGGTGAAGGAGAATTTATGCCATGTATTATCCTAATAATAAACAATACATTTCCAAAAAAGATTATCACAGAATGAGCTTTGCAAAGAAAATAATACGCATGAAATTTCAGGTCAAGTGCTAATGCTGTAACGGGAGCCAATCAGCACCGACTGTATTAAATACATACCTATAAATCTTAAAACTATATATGATCTTTCTGGCTACCCAGAATCTTAAATTATTTTGTTTTGAAGAAGTGTGGTCATAAAGACATTAAGATGATATACAGTTACAGTGTGGGATTTGTCACAAATGTTTGCAGACAACAGTGCTATAAGATTCATCATTAAAAAAAAAAAACCGTACCATGGGCGGGGATGAGTCTCAAAACACGATGGTCTGGAGTTTTGACTCTCTGATTGCGGGTTCTATCCCGCCCATGGTATAGTTTGTTTGCAATCGTGTCATTACAATTTCGTGAGTCATTATTATCATTATTACAATCAGTTTATGCACTAACCCTAAAACATCAGTGCTATTAAGATATTCTGAAAAGTTGCTGCTAAGATTAGCAGAATCATTTTAAAGGGTGAGTAAAAGTTTAAGTTAAAAAAGCATGACGATGAGAATTAGAAGTAAGAAAAGAAAAAAAAAGTCAAATTGGAAGGAAGCATATAAAGGATGTTCATAAATCTGGGAGTGAATGTATCAGCAGAAGGGTCTGTGAATGATAAGGTTAATTTTTTTCAAAGAAAATTATGTCAATGGAAGCAAAATAGGAAAATTTATCTGAGCATAATAGCTATAGTGCTACTATATACAAAAATCTGGGGCAATGGTTAGAGGCAGTATGTATGTAATGTTCAAGTTGTGGAGTAAATATTATGCAGAAAATAAGAAAGGAGAGGTTAGAGATATGCATTTGCTGTTTGGAGTGACATCTGAACTGTTGTATCTGTGTACCTCCGGCAAGACAGTGATAGTGTGAATGATGGTGAAAGTTTCCTCTTCGGGTCACCTTACCTTGGTGGGAGACAGCCAGTGTTCAAAAATAAAAAAATAAATACAGAAATTTGAAGTTTAATGGTATAATAAAGTACAGCTATTTCAACGAGTTGGAGAGAGTTATTGAGATAGTAGTACGAGATGTATAAAGATAGGATAGGATGGAAGGCACAAGGGATGACCAAGCAAGGGTTGGAAGGGCAAGAGGTACTTAGGGCATTAACATCTGGCAAGCACTTGCATGTGTATTAGATCAGAGCAGAAGAGTGGTTTTTCATGTTAGACTTGCCTTTGGAGTGGGTATGTATAGTGGCCTCATTTGGAAAGTCAAGTGTCGTTGCAATTAAGTGGCTCAACAATGGATTGTGATATTTGATTACAAATTTAAATTAAAATTATATATGCTCTATAGTTTTGTTTTGTAGGGAGAAGAAACAATTGTACGTGTTGGCAGTGGAAGAAAGCAAATTTTAAATAGAGTAAAACCAGTAAAAAAAATTGCCTAATAGATAATCCTTTGTTTTTCACTAAGACCATAATAGTATAGTAGTAGTATAATAAAGTATGCATATTTTTATTTTATGATTATTGAATTTCTTGCAAAGTAGATTTGACTATTAACCCAAGACAATTTATCGTTTCTCTGTCCCATTCTTAAAATGCATCAAATTACCGCATGTAGTATAACCCATTAATAGCAACATTTTGCTAACGAAATTAGCAAGTGTCACCACAAAAAAAAAAAAAAAAGTTCCAATCAACTAAATTGTGACTCTGTTTTAACCAATCACACAATACAGAAATCCTTAGAACACAGCAAAAACTGTACCTACATTAATTATACCCCACATCACTACAAATAGAACACGGCAAAATGAAACTAGTTTCCCTTTTGTAAAAAAAACAGGAGCTAGGAAAAAAAATTTATTTCTATTACTGAAAAGAAATAGGTCACAGTTTCATTGAACCATATGTTCATTTGATAGTGGTTTTTAAGGAATATTACAAAAAAAATCTCGACTCTTTAAAGAGGTAAAAGGTAAACCAAACTTACCATGCCACAGGCAGGGATTGAACTCGTGGCGAGCGACTCATTTGTCATGTGTTCAATCCGCCCATGATATGGTTTGTTTGCAATTGTGTCATTACGATTTCATGATTCATGCATATAGGAAACTTATGACCTTCTGGTTGTGCACACATGTCTATGAGAACCATTGTCAAACTTTTATTTTATATTCACCTGAGATTTTACTGTAACAGTCTATTCATGGTACAAATACATTTTTTGTACCACATTAATATTTACAACCATGTTATTTTTTCAAAGCATGAAAGAAATTTTTTTTTTTGTCGATTTTCAGTTATACACAATCAAGGGATGTCTTTTTCACTTTCATTTTGTAAAATTCCTACAAAAGGAGGAAAACATCTTGTATAAGACTGAAGTAATCATCCATTCTCCACTGCATTAATAAATCCACACACAAATATAACAATCTGTACAAAACATCTAATTTTATATATAAATTAGTAGCCCCTTAAACCATTGTAGACTTTTCCTATGGAATCTTGTTTTAAAATCTTCTTTAGAGCTGAAAAGAAAGATTAATAAATTAATGAAGTAAATTTTATAACCATTTCTTTTTATATAGAAGACCCTCAGCTTACAAATGAGCTGCATTCCTAAGGTTTTAATCTACAGGTTATTTTAAATCATTAATACATGTACTGTGCAAATAATAGTTACGTTTCACATGTTTGTACTGCATATCAACAGAAGTGAAAATGTAATTGGTGGTTAAGAGTCTTGTTCATAAATGCAATGCTTGTAACTGGGGATGTTTCTAAGCTGAGCAACTCCTGCATTCTGCATATTATCCAAAATATTAATGTCATTCATGCTGCTTTCAAATACTGTAGAGCATTCAATTATGTTTGCAAGCGTATCTGTTAACCCTTTCAGGGTTTCAGACGTACGTACTAGTACGGCTTACGCACCAGGGTTTTTGGCGTACTAGTACGCCTAAATTCTAGCACCCTCAAATCTAGTGAGAGAAAGCTGGTAGGCCTACATATGAAAGAATGGGTCTATGTGGTCAGTGTGCGCAGTATAAAAAAAATCCTGCAGCAAATGCGTAATGAGAAAAAAAAAAGCCGACTTTTTGGATTAAAACAGCGACTTTGCACTGTATTTTTGTATGGTATTTATTATTGTACTCTAGTTTTCCTGGTCTCATTTAATAGAATGGAAGACATATTACAGAAATTGAGATGATTTTGACTGGTTTTACAATGAAAAGTTGATAAATTAGACACATGTGCAACTCTTGGGTATCTTTACTGAGGAAACGTTTTGCCACACAGTGGCTTCATCAGCCCATACAAAGGAGAATCTTGAAGAACAGGAGGAGAATGAGGTAATCAGTCCCTCAGCCTTGAGTCGATGTGGTCAGTCCATCAATCTTGAATAGAATACGGCATAAGTGCGGAGAAGGAGCTTACAAACCGTAGGAAGGAGAGGTGCAACAGTCTTAGGTGGTGTCACATTTGTTCAATGTGGAAGTAGGTCGTGCCCAAGGGTTAGGCAAGCGAAGAATTCCCAAGTATTAAGATCCCAAGAAGTTGCAGTGTCTGACAGGATTGTAGATCAATGGTTCAGAGAACCGACACGTTGAAACTGAGCTCAAAGTAGCAGAAATGTTCGATTTTTACCAAAGTTCAAAAGTAAACAAATCATGCTAAGCGTCCAATACATGTCAATTGGTGAGTTAATATTCTTTCACAAGTGCGCTGATATTATTTATACCATTTCTACACTAATGCAGTAGTCTGCATAACAGTAAATCTTCTATTTTTTGAGAAGAAAAATTCCAAGTGGAAAGCAAAAGAATGTAAGAGGGGCCTGGGGACGTGACTAATGAACAGAGGAAATGTTATTTTAGTGCCAGGAATGTCTTTTTTGTTTATTCTGGACCCTATTTGGAATTTGGCATCTTTTGAAATTTGTGTGAAATTGGCAAAATTGCTAAATTCTGACCACTGTATTGGATAGTTGAAATCGGTAAACGGGTGGTTTCTTGTACTCATTCGATAAAAAAAATGGAGTTCCAGCGAAATAGTTATGATTTTTATCGACTAGTACACGGAATTGGCCGAAAATAGGGCTCAAAGTGGGCAAAATCGCCGATGCATAAACATTGTCGAGAGCTGCTAACTTTGAGAGCATAATTCCGTAAGTTTTCCATCAAATTTCATACTTCTGGTGTCATTATGATCAGGAAAAGATTCTCTATCTTTCCATAAGAAAATATAATATTTTTTTTCTTGAAATTTGGGTGACCCTGAGAACGAGTCTGGGAGAGGGCCTGGGGACCCTGAAAGGGTTAAGTGGTCCTGGGAATTGTTTTCCCCATGGTCCAGTCTTAGCTCAGGTCACCTAGGTTGGAAAGGATATATGACAGATTAAGAACTAGTTGGAAGCACACAGGAAAGTAAAGGTGTGTAAACTGAATGCAAGTACTGTAGAGGTTTCTAAGATTTACCCGTGATATTAAGTGTTCGTGAAACAAAGAAAGGAGCAGAAATCCTGTCAGAATACAAAAAATTAATGGGTTACCATGTCACACTCATTTGGCAGGGCTGAAGTACGTCTCTGGACGATTACTGTCTACTAACGAAATACTGATGAAAGGAAAAAGGTGGCAAAATATTGTTAGTTAACTCTCCGGCATTTTGTTTATTTCTTGAATGTACTTTCAAGGTGGAAGCCACGACCTAAAATTTGCTGAAAGTCTTATCGAAATCTGATGATCGTTCTTTATACATTCTTGAAAACTATTATCCCATTTTCCACACGTCTTTTCTTTAAACATGAAAAATTTGTAGTGAGAGTCCTAAGCAAGTCGTATCTTTTAGGAAATGATCACATTAACCAAATTATGGACAGGCAATCAAATTTTCAAATGGTACTCTACAATGTAAGACTGGTCACTTACAACAAGAAACCTTGCCTCTAGTGATCCAATCAGCATCCCCACATGAGCAGTATTTAGCTATGACATTCTGGCAAAACAGTGACAGTGTAAATGATTGTCTAAGATTTTTTTTTCGGGTCACCTTACCTCAGTGGGAGACAGCCAGTGTAAAAAAAAAAAAAAAAAAAAAAAAAAAAAGGGGGTATTCAATTTACTTTCCCCAATGAAGTACATATTTTCCAAGGCACCTAACATCAAGTGGACTGCTACAAATAAAGAATTTAGAAAATTATAATTGACCTTACCTTCTTTATCTTCTTCGCTAAATTCATTCTTTGGGAATTCCACGTCAAACGTAATGTAGAGAATACCATACAGATTATTATTTTCGTAATTAGGCATTCCTTCTCCCTTCTTACGAATTCGAGCTCCGGGCCACGTTGGTTTCTCTCGTACAATGTGCACCTAAAACAAATGTGGCACCATATGTAGCATGTAAATACATATTTAATAATAAACACGAGCCTGACTGAATAGGCAACCAACTGAAAATCTTGGCCCATGTGAGGCTGCAGAGATAGAAAATCTTTGCAAGCTATACACAAATAACCCGCACATAGAAGAGAGGAGCTTACGACGACGTTTCGGTCCGACTTGGACCATTTACAGAGTCACACTAACCAGAAGTGGAGCAGGACGGGTATATATAGACAGGAAGAGGTAGTGGTGGTAGTAGTAGAAGCAGTAGTGGTAGTAGTTACAGGTATACTGTAATCACACAGGTACACAATACATTCCACATTATCAGAAAGAAATTCAAGATTGTTGAATATCTCTCTATTGTCTGTGTCACGAAGGGGAAGGAAGGAGTCAGTGAAGAGGGGAAACAAAGGAGAGAGAAAGAAACAAGAGAAGTGAGAAAAGGAAGAAAGAGGGATTGAAGAAAAGAGGAGGAAGAAAAGAGAAAGTGACAGAAGAAAAATGCAGGAGACAGAGGAAGGAGAATGTAGGGAATGGGGGGTTGGGAAGCAAAAAAGAGGGAAGATAGTGGAAGGGAGGGAAGAAATTGAGGGGAGGTAGGGAGGAAGGGATGGAGGGAGGGAGGAAGGGAGGAAGGGATGGAGGGAGGGAGGGATGGAGGGAGGGAGGAGGGAGGGAGGGAGGGAGGGAGGGAGGAGGGAAGGGAGGGAGGGAGGGAGGAGAAAAGGGATGGAGGGAGGAAGAAAGGAGGGAGGGAGGAAGAAAGGGAGGGAGGGAGGAAGGGCTTTGGGATTTAAACAGCAATGAGATAAAAAAAAAACAAAGCCCTTCAAGAAATAACCAAGAAAAATGCAGAAGCATCGTAATAAAATGATGGGAGGTGGTGGTGGCTGTTGCTTATTATGGACTACATCTCCTTGAGCTTCTAAAGCCTTGCTGCTTCCAGTATGGAGGGCCAATAAAGCTCAAAACATATGAAGTGGTAGCCCTAAAAAAACCCAGAAACTTTTTTCCTTACTGTGCCACAGTCAATATCATATCTTCACTACTCAGCTTTGTTTAATAACTTTCACACTTCATTATCAATCACCAACATATTCAACAATTATAGAAACACAGCTACAATAGATACACAAGTTAAAGACATGGGAACGTGTAATTACAGTGTAACTGTTTTATTAGCTTTCCTGCGTCACCTAACATTTTTTTTAGCTTTACGACACAACCAACCAGTCACTTACAATTTATTTAAAATACAATCCCTGGACGTGCAATATACAAGATTATACTGCAATTCTATTAAAACAAAGGTATATATATTATTCCATTACACATACTGTAGCTCACCCCAATGACCGCATCATACATTTATAGATGAAGAGTCTTTCTGCTCAGATTTTTGGTGCCAAGATTCACTTTCCTATTTGAAAAAGCTCATTTTCTTTCCTTGTAGATTTGAACACTTTTTTGCAATGCTTTCCAGTTCATCAGTTCTAAATAAAACAAGTCCAATTACATTTAATTTACTCTTATTCTATATTTCATTAATCCATTACAAATAGTTTTCCCTTACCATGTGCTTATCAAGATGTGGGATATTAAGCTCAAATCCTAAGAGAGCCTCTTGCAGGGATAATGTAACATTTGTGTACAAATCATCACCTCGACGCTCAAATCTGCAAATAAAATGTAAAAAATTTAATTCTTTCAGAAATCAAATTTCATCATATGCAACCCAGTGTGTAACTGTATAGGATGAAATAAAAAATGATCCGAAATACTGTATTTATAAAAAACATTAACCATCGACTACTTTCTTCCCTACACTATCCAAAAGCAAATTCACCTTTCAATAAACAGTCCCAGTCTGTCCATTTTCTTAATTGTTGTTACAATACTTCCCAGTTTCTTTCCATCTATTTGTACATGTATGGTAAACAGTTGCATAAAGTTCTTTCATTTTTTTTTCAACAAGTCTGCCGTCTCCCACCGAGGCAGGGTGACCCATAAAGAAAAAATCCCAAAAAGAAAATACTTTCATCATCATTCAACACTTTCACCTCACTCATAGATAATCACTGTTTGTATTGATAAAGCCACTAGATGGTAAAACGTTTACAGTAAAGATACCTAGATGTTGCACATGTATCTAATTCTTCATCTTTTCATGTGTTTTCTGACTAGTGAATTCCTGTCAAGATAATTATCATTCTTTATACTGTATTTATGCAATACACAATCCAACAGTTGGTAGTAGTTAGCATTCATTTGAAGGATTTTTTTTTTTTTTAAACCAGAAAGCAAAAATATTATACAAGGCTATCTTCCCCTGAAAAATTTGGAGCACTATTTCAGACATCAATGGTACAGATAACCAAATTAAGCACATATAGCTGACCTTTCGTGTGGCATTGTTTTTATACGAATGATGAGATCGCCAGGATCGCCATCAATGTGGGGTTCACCTTCACCAATGAAGCGATGCTCTTGTCCATCAACCATGCCAGGTTCAATCTCAAATTCTAAAGTTCTTTCTTCATTCACTAACCTGTAAAGAAAAATATATATGAATAAGACAATGTAACAGCAAATATAAATCTTTGCACTCTTGGAGGGGTTAAGGATATCTGCTATTTGGAGGGGCATCTAAACTATCATATCTGTGCACCTCTGGCAAGACAGTGATGATGGTGAAAGTATTTCTTTTTCAGGTCACCCCTGTCTTGGTGGGACACAGCCAGTGTTAAAAACATACATTTTATTAATGCAGTCTTGTCAGAAAAGTTACAAATCAAAAAATGCTTTCCAATATCATTACACTATTTTATGTATTGTAATTACTCTACTGCTTATTTAACTATGCACCAATTTGTGAATAAAAAATAAATTAAGGACCACTTTACAGATTTTAAATTGCACTATGCAAATAATTCCCACAACAAAAATAAAAAAATGCATGCTTACATACTTGACATTAGGGCATTCATCACACACTTGCTGCTGAGTCATCTGAAACCGTCCAGGACCCAACTGTCTAGTAACCATCTCCTGACGACAGTTACAGCGTCGTGTACCTGTTGCTGCTCTAGCTACCGGTTTATTTCGTACCATCTGAAAAGATTCATGCATATTTATCTTGCGCAATACAGAAGCCGTAAACTGTTATAACCTGATTAAACTATACTACATTTACCCGTATTAATTATCTGTTTGACTACATTTACAATGTCTCTGGCAAATTTTTCGATAATCAAACCTCTGCTTATTATCACAGCATTATATTTCCTAAGCAAGTGTTAAACCCGAAGATTATACAGCAGCTAAGAAGCTTCCAGGAAAGAAAGTAAAAATAGCGATGTCAATAATCAGACGATATTGGAACCAAATAATTTCTCAATTTTGAAGTATGCAGGCTTTTAAACATACAATATATAATGAATCAGTATGCTAGTTGTACATGTAATCTTACATGAAATTTATTTACCTCAACAAAGTTTCCTACATACAGTTCTTCCAGTGTTACTGCCATGTCCATGGTCACATCTCCACCTTTTGGTACTTCACGTTCTCTTGGCTGACCACCACCAAAGCCAAAACCAAAATCACCGAAGAAACTGGCGAAGGGATCCATTCCTCCAAAGCCATCTTCTTTGGCTACACATTCTTCTCCACACCTACAGAATATAGTTTTATCATAGCTCAGCATTGAAGGAAATGCTTCTAGTACATATGTTAAAACACTGTAAAAACTAAATTAATATATTTCACACTTATTCTTCCTGACAAAAACATTGCTTAAAGAAATTATCACTAGTATATATAAATAAATTTACTTTAAAACTTCAGAGGCACAGGTAAAATGGACATCAGTAAAAGAACCTAATGGAAGTAATTACTGCAAATTAAGAAAATCTGACTTGTTCTGTATACGGTCTATCATTTTTTAATCGACTTCATGAAATATTACCAGACATAATTCAGGCAAGAAAGGGAAAAATCATAGTTTACATCTGGAAAATTAAAATATGTACAGTAACTAACACCATCCATAATCATCCAAACTGTGGTATGTATTTACAATGAACTACAAGCACTAACAGGTTGCTTGATTAAGCTGCAAACCAGAAGCCTGTGCATAGACTAGGCCATGAAAGGGAAGGAAAATCATCATTATTGCATTTATGGAGAGTGCTCAACCCATAGGGATGACAGTGCCTGGGAAAATGGCAGATATTCAAGTCTGATGCAAGGAAGGGAGAGGCAGACCCATTCCTGAACTAAGAGTCCTTCACCAGCATCAAGGAACCTTCCTTGTGGGGTAAGAAGGAAGAGCAGATCCCAGGAAACAATTTAGATATATCACTGAGTACATCTGAATAATGTGATGAATGGTTTTGAAAACCGACAAGTTGAAGATTGAGACACTTATGCACCCTATGCTGTACATTCTACAAGATTGATGGACTGAACACATCGACTCCAGGCTGAAGGACTGATTACCTCAATCTCCCCCTCTTCTTGCACCTCTCTGCTTTGTATTGGACTAGTGAAGCCAATGTGTGGCGAAACGTTTCCTAAATAAAGATTCCCATATGGTGCATAAGTGTCAATCTTCAACATCTGAATAATACACAGCATGTCAATAAATTGAACTATGGCAGTACAGCGGACCCCCGGTTTATGATATTATTTCATTCCAGAAGTATGTTCAGGTGCCAGTACTGAACGAATTTGTTCCCATAAGGAATATTGTGAATTAGATTAGTCCAATTTCAGACCCCCAAACATACAGGTACAAATGCACTTACATAAATACACTTACATAATTGGTCGCATTGGGAGATGATCGTAAAGCGGGGGTCCACTGTACGTATTTTGTTTTATTTACATACCTGTCATACTTTTGTCTCTTTTCATCATCAACAAGAACCTCATAAGCTGCTCCCAAATCCTTAAATTTATCTTCAGCATTGGGGTCGTCTTTGTTCTTGTCAGGGTGATATTCCTTTGCTAACTTACGATATGCCTTTTTTATCTGGTTTACATTTGCACTACGAGGTACACCTAAGATCTTGTAGAAATCTCTCCTGAATAAAGAGAAGAGCAAATATAATTAATCCATAATTAACAACATTACACAAAAACCTCGTAATTAAAAGTAAACTATTAAAAAATCGAAACGTTAATGCAATTTTACTTTGAAATTACCATGAGCACAAAATAACAAGCAAATCTATGATGGATTCCTCATCCTCATTCAGAAGTAATACTGGTACAGTACTTAAAAATCTACACAGGTGTACACTAATCAGATATAAACACGTCAGAGCTCTATTATAATTAACAACTCATCCTTTTTATTTATTGTACGAAGGAACAAATGTAGCTCACTGGTAGAGCATTTGTCAAATGGGCATATCTCAATACCGTACTTGTACATACTTGGTTCCCCTCTACATCTATCAATAAATAAGTACCTAAGTAAGTTAGCTTATTCAGGTATACACAAATACAGTTACACAGATTATCATACATAGCAGCATATGTGTAGAGAACCTGGGATAACCCAAAAAAGTCGAAGTGACTTATTTCCATTGAGAAACATAACAAAATTATAAGAGCTATAATTATTCTGTATAGAAAGATAGACTAAAAAAATAGCATTTAACCCAAAGAGATCAATGTTCAAATTCGTATTGCTACAAAAGTAGATCTACTTTTTTTTACATATTTTCAAATATAACAAAAAAAAAAATGTAGATAAAAGTTTTTTTACACGTTTTCAAACGTAAAACAAAAAAAGATCTACTTTTTTTACATACTTTCAGATGTTGAAAAAACGAATATATACGTTTGGACCATTTAAGGTTAAGTTGTGAATCTAGGTGCTGTAGGCCATCATACTGGCTAGGTGGGGAATTAGTAATTTAAACGAGAACAGAGAGGTTGTGACAATTTGTAGGGAAGACAGTGATGGAGTGAATGATGGTGAAAGTTTTTCTTTTTCAGGCCACCCTGCCTTGGTGGGAATCGGCCAGTGTGTTAATAAATAATAAATAAATAATTGACTTTGACAAAAATTTATTGGGAAAGAACTTGGTGGCTATTGGCTAGAAGATACTGTAAGTTTATTTTGGTATAACAAATACAGTTACACAAATTAACATACATAGTACACATGTAAATTACCTAGGATAGCCCTTATAGTACTGTATGTGAAAAGTGAGATGGCAGGCAAGGATTTATAGCTTATGTGAGGATTCATAGTTTAGGTGAGGATTCATAGTTGGGTGAGGATTCATAGTTTAGGTGAGAATTTATAGTTTGGTGAGGATTCATAGTTATGAGATATATTGGGTGAGGATTCATAGTTTGAGTGAGATTTCATAGTCTGGGTGAGGATTCATAGTTGGGTGAGGATTCATAGTTCTGGGTGAGGATTCATAGTTTAGGTGAGAATTATAGTTTGGGTGAGGATTCATAGTTTGAGTGAGGATTCATAGTCTGGGTGAGGATTCATAGTTTAGGTGAGGATTCATAGTTTGGGTGAGGATTCATAGTTTAGGTGAGGATTCATAGTCTGGGTGAGGATTCATAGTTTGGGTGAGGATTCATAGTTTGGGTGAGGATTCATAGTTTGGGTGAGGATTCATAGTTTGGGTGAGGATTCATAGTTTGGGTGAGGATTCATAGTTTGGGTGAGGATTCATAGTTTGGGTGAGGATTCATAGTTTGGGTGAGGATTCATAGTTTGGGTGAGGATTCATAGTTTGGGTGAGGATTCATAGTTTGGGTGAGGATTCATAGTTTGGGTGAGGATTCATAGTTTGGGTGAGGATTCATAGTTTGAGTGAGGATTCATAGTTTGGGTGAGGATTCATAGTTTGGGTGAGGATTCATAGTTTGGGTGAGGATTCATAGTTTGGGTGAGGATTCATAGTTTGGGTGAGGATTCATAGTTTGGGTGAGGATTCATAGTTTAGAAGATACATAATTTAGACGATTCAGAATTTACGAGAAGATTCAGAATTCACGAGAAGATTCAGAATTCACGAGAAGATTCAGAATTCACGAGAAGATTCAGAATTCACGAGAAGATTCAGAATTCACGAGAAGATTCAGAATTCACGAGAAGATTCAGAATTCACGAGAAGATTCAGAATTTACGAGAAGATTCAGAATTTACGAGAAGATTCAGAATTTACGAGAAGATTCAGAATGCACGAGAAGATTCAGAATTCACAGAAGATTCAGAATTTACGAGAAGATTCAGAATTCACGAGATTCAGAATTTACGAGAAGATTCAGAATTTACGAGAAGATTCAGAATTCACGAGAAGATTCAGAATTCACGAGAAGATTCAGAATTCACGAGAAGATTCAGAATTCACGAGAAGATTCAGAATTTACGAGAAGATTCAGAATTTACGAGAAGATTCAGAATTTACGAGAAGATTCAGAATTTACGAGAAGATTCAGAATTTACGAGAAAATTCAGAATTTACGAGAAGATTCAGAATTTACGAGAAGATTCAGAATTTACGAGAAGATTCAGAATTTACGAGAAGATTCAGAATTTACGAGAAGATTCAGAATTTACGAGAAGATTCAGAATTTACGAGAAGATTCAGAATTTACGAGAAGATTCAGAATTTACGAGAAGATTCAGAATTTACGAGAAGATTCAGAATTTACGAGAAGATTCAGAATTTAGGCGAGGTACAATTATTATTTATAGATGAGGTAGGAGGTAAAGCAAGAAATGGGTAATGTACTTTGTTTTATTTTGGGTGAAACCCATTAAACTTGTTTAATAAAAATACCCAAATGGAAATAAATCAAGGACCCTAATGGAAGTCAAGGACCTCAATGGAAGCCAAGGACCCCAATGGAAATAAATCAAGGACCCCAATGGAAGTCAAGGACCCCAATGAAAGCCAAGGACCCCAATGGAAATAAATCAAGGACCCCAATGGAAGTCAAGGACCCCAATGAAAGCCAAGGACCCCAATGGAAATAAATCAAGGACCCAATGGAAGTCAAGGACCCCAATGAAAGCCAAGGACCCAATGGAAATAAATCAAGGACCCAATGAAAGCCAAGGACCTCAATGGAAATAAATCAAGGACCCTAATGGGAGTCAAGGACCCCATTGGAAATAAGCCACTTTGACTTTCCTGGATTACCCTTGGTAATTTACACCCATTGCCATATATATAATAACTTATATAAGTGTATTTAAGTGTAGTTATACTTAAATAAAGTTACACAGGTGAGGAACATTTAAAAGCGGCGGCCACTGTAGGGAATAATGTGTCTCCCGCTGATTGGTCCTCCTCCACTACCTTAATACCTCGCTAAATACAACAATTACTTACATTTTAGACCCATACATGTTATCATTTCAAACTAGATATCTTATTCTAGCTTGCCAGACCCTAAAAATATATTTTAAACAGCCGGTCATGGGAGAAATTAGATAAATAAAGAGGACTGACAGGGCATCAGCTGATGAGGACAAATCACCTCATGTACCTTATTATGGCTAACAGACGATTAATACAAAAATTATGAATTACGGTAGTTGGGTTATGCTCTCAAAAATATGTGTAAAGTACTCAAAAGTGGCTTACCCAGCTTCACAAGCGATAATAACGAGTAAAAGACAGAGTCCCCAGCTCCACCGCGGCGTCATCCTGACACTCTGTTACACTGATTTTCCTTCTTATATTTACTCTATAAATGCTATATCTTTATTAATTGTTTATTTAAACACTATGGAGGTGAAAATTAAATTTGCTGCATTTTATCTGGTAGTGAGAATTTTGTTTAACGTGGTTGGTGTTAGCTAGAAGAGGTGAAATGTAATTTTTGAAGGTAGATTTAAGGCAAGTTGAGGTTGTGAATGCTGGCCACGTATTGTGCCTCCCCCAGGCAACCTTTCTTACAATACCACACTGCCACGTGTTATACCTCGCTATATACTTACTCTCTTACTTTATTTACCTACTGGCATATATATACACAATTATCATATCTAATAACATTGCTACACGGGTGTAAATTGCCTAGGATAACCCAAAAAAGTCAGACCAAGGGTCCTTATATCTTACAATACCACACTGCCACGTATTATACCTGGGTATATACTTACTCTCTCACTTTATTTACCTACTGGCATATATATACACAATTATGATACCTAATAACACTGCTACACGGGTGTAAATTGCCTAGGATAACCCAAAAAAGTCAGACCAAGGGTCCTTCTTATATCTTACAATACCACACTGCCACCTATTATACCTGGGTATATACTTACTCTCTCACTTTATTTACCTACTGGCATATATATACACAATTACCATACCTAATAACACTGCTACACGGGTGTAAATTGCCTAGGATAACCCAAAAAAGTCAGACCAAGGGTCCTTCTTATATCTTACAATATCACACTGCCACGTATTATACCTGGCTATATACTTACTCTGGGTATTTAGGCATATATACACATAATTACAATTATTATACCTAGTTACAGTGATGTAAATTGCCTAGGATAACCCAAAAAAATTGACTTATTTCCAATGGGGCCCTTGTAATATCTTACAATACCACACTGCCATGTATTATACCTGGGTATATACTCACTCTCTGAGTTTATTTAGGTACAGGTATATATATACACAATTATCATACCTAATAACACAAGGGTGTAAATTACCTAGGATAACCCAAAAAAGTCAAAGTGAATTATTGCCATTGGAATCCCTGTAATAAATTATTATACTATCATACTGCCACGTATCATACCAGGGTATATAGTGAACGAGATGAGATTATTTAGGCACAGGTACACATAAATACGGTTATCATACTTATTAACATGAGTAAATTAACCAAGGTACAGTGTAAATTACACAAATAACCCGCACATAAAAGAGAGAATCTTACGACGACGTTTCGGTCCGACTTGGACCATTTACAAATGAATGGTTCAGAGAACCGACATGTTGATAAATTAGACACATGTACAACTCTTGGGTATCTTTATTGAGGAAACGTTTCGCCACATAGTGTCTTCATCAGTCCATACAAAGGAGTTGTACATGTGTCTAATTTATCACCATTTACAAAGTAAATGGTCCAAGTCGGACCGAAACGTCGTCGTAAGCTTCTCTCTTTTATGTGCGGGTTATTTGTGTATCGTTCCGGTCACGGTATTGTGCCTTTTTTTTATTTACAGTGTAAATTACCTAAGATAACCAAATCGATATTTAGGGACTCCAAGGTAGATAAGTCACTTTGTCTGACCTTTTTAAGTGTCAGGGGCCCGAGACTGTTCAACTGCCTCCCAGCATACATAAGGGGGATTACCAATAGACCCCTGGCTGTCTTCAACCAGGCACTGGACAAGCACCTAAAGTCAGCACCTGACCAGCCGAGCTGTGGTTCGTACGTTGGATTGCGTGCAGCCAGCAGTAACAGCCTGGTTGATCAGGCTCTGATCCATCATGAGGCCTGGTCATAGACTGGGCCGCGGGGGCGTTGACCCCCGGAACTCTCTCCAGGTAATTTACACATATGTTACTAGGTATAATAATTGTACTTATGTGTACCTGTACCTAAATACACTTGTTTCTATTTGGGTCCTTATATTATCTTACAAGCCCGGACTTGTGCATATACCTGGAGGGTGTTCTGGCAGCATGTAAACCAGCGTACGAACCACAGCCCGGTTGGTCAGATACTGACTTGAGGTGCCTGTCCAGCTCCTTCTTGAAGATAGCCAGAGGTCTTTTGGTAATCTTCCCTATGTATGCTGGGAGGCAGTTGAACAGTCTTGGGCCCCGGACACTTATTGTGTTGTCTCTTAGCGCTCCTGCTGTTCATTAGAAGGATGTTGCACCACCCACTGAGTCTTGCTTTAGTAGGGAGTGATTTTCGTGTGCATATTTGGGACTGGTTCTCTTAAGATTTTCAAAGTATCTTTCTCGCCTGCATTCCACAGAGTACAGGTCAAGGGACTTCAACCGTTTCCAGTAGTTTAGGTGCTTTATGGTACTTATACATGCAGTGAAAATTCTTTGTATATTATCCAGGCCTGCAATTTCGCCTGCCTTAAAAGGGGCCGTTTGTGTACAGCAGAATTCCAGCCTAGAGAAAGCAAGCGGTTGGAAGGAATCATCATTGGCTTAGCATCCCTAGTTTTGAAGGTTCTCATTATCCATCCTATCATTTTCCTGTTAGATGTGGTAGAGACATCGTTGTGATTTTTTTTAGATTTCTTTGATATCGCTCCCAGGTCCTTCAAATCAGCTTTTCGTTCTATTGTGTGGTTGGAATTTGCTTTATACTCTGATCTAGTTTTTAAATGCTCGAGTTTTCCATAGCGGAGTAGTTGAAATTCGTCTCCAATGAACTTCATACTGTTTTCTGACGCCCATTTAAAGACTCGGTTACGTCCGCTTGGATATTTGTAGTGTCCTCAATGGATGACACTCATGCAGATTCTGGTATAATCAGCAAAGGAGAACACGGTGCTGTGGCTTACATCTCTATCTATTTCAGATATAAGGATGAGGAAAAGGATGGGAGTGAGTATTATATCTTGTGGAACAGCTTTTCACTGTATTCGCCAATGACTCGACTCTGATTACTCTTTGTGTCCTACTTGTCAGGAAGTTATAGATCCATCTACCTACTTTTCCTATTATTCCTTTATCGCTCATTTTGTGCACCATTACACCATGATCACACTTGTCGAAGGCTTTTGCAAGTCTGTGTATACTACATCCACATTTTGCTTGTCCTTCAGTGCATCAAAGACCATGTCATAGTGGTCCAGTTGTTGTGAGAAGCAGCAATGACCTGGTCTAAACCAACGCTGTCCTGGGTTGTGCAATTATTGGGTATCCAAGTAGTTGGCGATCTTGCTTCTTAGAACCCTTTCAAAGATTTTTATGATGTGGGACAGTAGTACTATCGGCCTGTAATTCTTTGCAATTGCTTTACTGCCACTTTTGTGAAGTGGGGCTATATCTGTTGTTTTTAGTGGCTGTGGGATGACCCCTTGTCTATGCCCTCTCTCCACAATATTTAATGCACGTGAACGGGGTTTCTTGTAGTTCTTGATGAACACGGAGTTCCACGAGTCTGGGCCTGGGGCAGAGTGCATGGGCATGTCATTTATTGTTTATCTAGTCCTGTGGTGTTAGGATTATACCAGAATTTCTCGAATTGACCAAATTTTGAGTCTCGGTCATTAAAACAAAAACTCAGATTGCTGACCCATAGTCTGATTAACGGCTCACTTAACACTGGAGTTTACCTGGAGAGAGCTCCGGGGGTCAACGCCCCCGCGGCCCGGTCTGTGACCAGGCCTCCTGGTGGATCAGAGCCTGATCAACCAGGCTGTTGCTGCTGGCTGCACGCAAACCAACGTACGAGCCACAGCCCGGCTGGTCAGGAACCGACTTTAGGTGCTTGTCCAGTGCCAGCTTGAAGACTGCCAGGGGTCTGTTGGTAATCCCCCTTATGTATGCTGGGAGGCAGTTGAACAGTCTCGGGCCCCTGACACTTATTGTATGGTCTCTTAACGTGCTAGTGACACCCCTGCTTTTCATTGGGGGATGTTGCATCGTCTGCCAAGTCTTTTGCTTTCGTAGTGAGTGATTTTCGTGTGCAAGTTCGGTACTAGTCCCTCTAGGATTTTCCAGGTGTATATAATCATGTATCTCTCCCGCCTGCGTTCCAGGGAATACAGGTTCAGGAACCTCAAGCGCTCCCAGTAATTGAGGTGTTTTATCTCCGTTATGCGCTCCGTGAAGGTTCTCTGTACATTTTCTAGGTCAGCAATTTCACCTGCCTTGAAAGGTGCTGTTAGAGTGCAGCAATATTCCAGCCTAGATAGAACAAGTGACCTGAAAAGTGTCATCATGGGCTTGGCATCCCTAGTTTTGAAGGTGTGTCATATTGGGACCTCATGCTAGTATCTCAGTGTATATATCTATGTATATATATACACTGTATATACATACTTGTCTATTTAATTAAATAGGTTTAAATAGTCTCTTAGCCTTGATAAAAGGTGCCTAGTCCCTTAGTCTCACTGTTTTACTTAGCTGTGTAGGCGAAACGTTTCTGGCAATCAAGATACCTGTGTTGTACATGTGTCTTACCAAGTAAAATTAACAGTTCTAGGAAGGCTAGAGAAAGGGCATTGCTTTTTATATATAAAATTTGGCTGCATTACATTGCATAGTTACCCTGATCTATGCATGGGACAAAAGCTAACCTTAAATACAGGTACACATAAGTATAGTTATACAAATTTGGGTGACTACATTTATCATACATACCAACATATGTGTAAATTACCTATGATAACCCCCCCCCCCAAAAAAAGTCAAATTGAAAAGACAAAACAGCGTCAGCCTACATTATAGCAACATATTGCTTAATAATAATAATAATAATAATAATAATAATAATAATAATAATAATAATAATAATAATAATAATAATAATAATAATAATATCATTATTTACTACCAGTAATAACAAAAAAGGCACAATACCGTGACTGGAACGATACACAAATAACCCGCACATAAAAGAGAGAAGCTTACGACGACGTTTCGGTCCGAGTTGGACCATTTACAAAGTCACCAGTACATGTACAAGGTATACATACCATAGCTGACATCAGTGACATACTACTATATAGAAAGTCACTTGTTATGCTGAGCATTTCCCGCAAATTAGGTCAGTTTTGTCCCAGGATGCGACCCACACCAGTCCACTAACACCCAGGATGCGACCCACACCAGTCCACTAACACCCAGATACCTATTTTACTGATGAGTGAACATAGACAACAGGTGTAAAGAAACACGCCCAATGTTTCTACCCTGGCTGGGAATCGAACCCGAACCGTCGCCGTGTGAAGCGAGAGCTTTAGCCAACAGACCACCAGAGTTTAAGTGAAGCTTTATCAGGTTATAAATTTACTAAAGTTCCCTTTGAGCAAAACGCTATTATAAAAATCCTTACTGTCTTATGTGTTGATTTATACAAATGTCAGATCATCGCCTCTTCCACCTGTCCGAACTCCGCCAGGGAGGTTCCTTGATACTGATGAAGGGTTATTGATGCTAGAAATTTGACTTGTTCTTCCGTTTCTTGGATCGAACCTGACAGTCTCCCATTCCCACATGAGCTGTATGATCTCTACGGGTTTAGCGTTTCCTCCTGAAGGGAAGTATTGAGGGCCAGGCGGCCCAGCAATATAGTAGATAACGGGAGGTTGGGTGGGGAGTATGGTAAAGAAGGAGGATGGGGGGGAGATAATGGGCGTAAAGAATGGAGGTGAATGGGAGGGGAGGTAAGGGGGGCTAAAAACAGGTAGGAGAAAAACCGCTAGAGGGGTGAAAATTCCAGTGGGTCGCCTTTAATCCAACACACACCCCAAAAACTCCAAATCTGCCTCCTGAAAACCACCCATATTTATCATTATTTGTTTCACAAACTACTGATATAACTTTTTTAATACACTGTGACCAAGAAAATGGAATTAATAGCTGTTTTATGAAGGCGGAAGAGAAGATCCTCGTGCATCTGGGAACAGTAATGTCTTAAGAGCTCGTGTTCAGTGGAGGACCCAGAGGGACGCCGTGAGGAGATCCCCTCTCTTCTCTCTCATTTACCTGCTTTATTATGCTTTAAAAACGTCCTAACGATAGATCACATAGTGGATACTTCATTAATAAGTGTATAGAATGGCTGAATTGCCCGGAAATAAGTCAAATAAGTGTGTGTGATTAAATTATGTGGTGCCCACGGAGTTTCCAGCAGTATCCTGTTGCACCTTTCTCCATCAGCTGATTCATACAGGTAAAATATCCAAATTAATACTTGGTGAGGGTATTACTGAAATATTATAATCATATATAGAGCTGAAACATTATAATTTTACTAACAAAACAATGATTTACTTATAGATATAGCCTAGGACCTAATAACCTGATTTTTTAAATATAGGACACCAAGAAAAACAGGTGAATGGCGGACAATATATATTAAATTCATCACGAACCTCTATTTCCACTTATTGTTAAGACATGTTAAAAAAAAGGAACCAAAAGTATTTGTCTGTTGACACGGGGAGGATATATTGGGTGTTAATAATTGCAGGAAGAATGTATGGTGATAGAGATGAATGACTGGCCAGTGGTTCAGGATAGTCGAGTCCTGTCAACTGGGCTCTTGTTCCATGGATGTGGAGTTACCCTTCCCTTATACCCTCTCAAGGAAGGTTCCTTGATGCTGGTGATGGGCTCTTGATCTAGGGAATTGGATCTGTGCTCCAATTCCCTGAATTAATCCTGAATACCTTCCACATCCCCCACACACAGGCACTGTATAATCCCTACGGGCTTAGCGCTTCCCCTTGATTATAATTAACCTAGACTTTTTAGTTCCTTACTGACAGGCTCTACTGGATGACTATCTCTAGATGTATTGAATTTACGAATTTTGTTTCTTGCATGTGCCTCAAATAATTTTTTGTTTTCCATATTGGTATTGTAAATTTCCTGTAATAAAACATTGTTAGGCATAACAGGAAGCCATTAGCATGAGATGAATTGTATATTTTACTGTGAAAAAGTTTGTATTATACTAAAATTTATTATTATTATTATAATCAAGGGGGAAGCGCTAAACCCGTAGGATTGTACAGCGCCTGTGGGGGGGGGGAATGGAAGGTACTCAGGGTTAATTCAGGGAATTGGAGCACAGATCCAGTTCCCTAGATCAAGAGCCTCTCACCAGCATCAAGGTACCTTCCTTGAGGGGTATAAGGGAAGGGTAACTCCACATCCATGGAACAAGAGCCCAGTTGACAGGACTCGACTATCCTGAACCACTGGCCAGTCATTCAATTATATTTGTTTTAACATTAAGACAAATATGGAGAGAATTATTATATTCACGAGAAAGTGCTCAGCTTATACTGCTTGCCCCTCAAGGGAGGTTCCTTGACGCTGGTCAGGGGCTCTTGATCTAGGGAACTGGATCTGTGCTCCAGTACTCTGAATTAAGCCTAAATACCTTCCATCCCCCCCCATATGCGCTGTATAATCCTACGACAGACACTTAAGTCAGTAACTGACCAACCAGACTGTGGTTCGTATGTCAGCTTGCATGCAACCAGCAGTAACAGACTGGTTGATCAGACCCTGATCCACCATGAGGCCTGGTCTCAGACCAAGCCGCGGGGGCGTTGACCCCGCGAAACCCTCTCCAGGTAAACGGGTTTAGCGGAATGAGAGGAAAGCAGATTTGATCAAAGGGAAGGAAGGGGTAACTCCAATACCATGAATCAAGAGCACATCGAGGTATTTTTTTCCTTGAAGACTATGGAGGAAGAGAAGTATAGGTCATTCATTACAGGCTGAAGTTTAATTACTGTAGGTTCTTGCCTGGAATTTTAATGATAGGTCTTAGAGGATGATAAGATTTCGTTCGGATTTTTAACCCCGGAGGGTTAGCCACCCAGGATAACCCAAGAAAGTCAGTGCGTCATCGAGGACTGTCTAACTTATTTCCATTGTGGTCCTTAATCTTGTCCCCCAGGATGCGACCCACACCAGTCGACTAACACCCAGGTACCTATTTGCTGCTAGGTGAACAGGACAACAGGTGTAAGGAAACGTGTCGAAATATTTCCACTCGCCGAGAATCGAACCCGGGCCCCCGTGTGTGAAGCGGGAGCTTTAGCCACCAGGCCACAGGGTGGTGCATTCACTATTTATTTATATATTTTGTGTTTGAGTTAATCTCTTGAATGCGGCTTTTGCTAGGAGGAAATATGTCTTAGAGATTTCACCAGATGAATTGGTGGTAAAACCTCTCGCTTCACACGGTGAGGATTCGGGTTCGATTTCCGGCGAGGGGGTGGAAGCATTGGACGTGTTACCTTACACCGGTTGTCTATGTTCACCCATCAGTAAAATAGGCACCTGGGTGTTAGTGGACTGGTGTGGGTCGCATCCTGGGTGTTAGTGGACTGGTGTGGGTCGCATCCTGGGACAAAACTGACCTAATTTGTGGGAAATGCTCAGCATAACAAGTGACTTTCTATATAGTAGTATGTCACTGATGTCAGCTATGGTCTGTATACCTTGTACATGTACTGGTACTAAATAAAGGTATTATATATGTTTTACACCCCATACCCATTATGGGTATGGGGTATGGCACATAATGGGTGGTTTTATGGTCAAAAGCATCAAGGATCTGGCCCACTTCGTGTTCGGATTTGCGTGTTTAAAATCATATGGGCCGAATATAAGGACATGATACATAATATATAGCTTTATATATAATTTGTCCATATAATTATATTTGTATTATGATTGTGAATTTACAGTTAATTGTTTTTTGTGTCGAGATTTCCTTGGCCAGTATCAGGATGACCCTCAAAACTCAGCCTAACGGGATAGATGTCTGTCTGTGTCTCTGTATCTGTCTGTGTCTCTGTCTCTGTATCTGTCTGTATCTGTGTCTCTGTATCTGTCTGTCTCTGTATCTGTCTGTATCTCTGTATCTGTCTGTATCTGTCTCTGTATCTGTCTGTATCTGTATCTGTCTCTGTGTGTCTGTATCTGTCTGTGTCTCTATATATATCTGTATCTGTCTGTGTGTCTGTATCTGTCTGTGTCTCTATATATATCTGTATCTGTCTGTGTGTCTGTATCTGTCTGTGTATCTGTATCTGTCTGTGTCTCTGTATCTGTGTGTCTGTATCTGTCTGATGTCTCTGTATCTGTCTGGGTCTCTGTATCTGTCCTGTGTGTCTGTATCTGTCTGTGTATCTGTATCTGTCTGTGTCTCTGTATCTGTTGTGTGTCTGTATCTGTCTGTGTCTCTGTATTGTCTGTGTCTCTATATCTGTCTGTGTGTCTGTATCTGTCTGTGTCTCTGTATCTGTCTGTGTCTCTATATCTGTCTGTGTGTCTGTATCTGTCTGTGTCTCTGTACTGTCTGTGTCTCTATATCTGTCTGTGTGTCTGTATCTGTCTGTGTCTCTGTATCTGTCTGTGTGTCTGTATCTGTCTGTGTATCTTGTATCTGTCTGTGTCTCTGTATCTGTCTGTGTGTCTGTATCTGTCTGTGTCTCTGTATCTGTCTGTGTGTCTGTATCTGTCTGTGTATCTGTATCTGTCTGTGTCTCTGTATCTGTCTGTGTGTCTGTATCTGTCTGTGTCTTGTATCTGTCTGTGTCTCTGTATCTGTCTGTGTGTCTGTATCTGTCTGTGTATCTTATCTGTCTGTGTATCTGTATCTGTCTGTGTATCTGTATCTGTCTGTGTGTCTGTATCTGTGTGTCTCTGTATTGTCTGTGTCTCTGTATCTGTCTGTGTGTCTGTATCTGTCTGTGTATCTGTATCTGTCTGTGTATCTGTATCTGTCTGTGTTCTCTGTATCTGTCTGTGTATCTGTATCTGTCTGTGTATCGGGTATCTGTCTGTGTCTCTGTATTCTGTCTGTGTTCTGTATCTGTCTGTGTATCTGTATCTGTCTGTGTATCTGTATCTGTCTGTGTTTGTATCTATCTGTATCTGTCTGTGTATCTGTATCTGTCTGTGTGTCTGTATCTGTCTGTGTCTCTGTATCTGTCTGTGTGTCTGTATCTGTCTGTGTATCTGTACTGTCTGTGTCTCTGTATCTGTCTGTGTGTCGTAATCTGTTGTGTATTGTATCTGTCTGTGTCTCTGTATCTGTCTGTGTGTCTGTATCTGTCTGTGTATCTGTATCTGTCTGTGCTCTGTATCTGTCTGTGTGTCTGTATCTGTCTGTGTATCTGTATCTGTCTGTGTCTCTGTATCTGTCTGTGTGTCTGTATCTGTCTGTGTATCTGTATCTGTCTGTGTGTCTGTATCTGTCTGTGTGTCTGTATCTGTCTGTGTATCTGTATCTGTCTGTGTCTCTGTATCTGTCTGTGTGTCTGTATGTCTGTGTTCTGTATCTGTCTGTGTATCTGTATCTGTCTGTGTCTCTGTATCTATCTGTATCTGTCTCTGTATCTGTCTGTGTATCTGTCTGTCTCTATCTGTCTGTATCTGCCTATATCTGTCTGTCTGTATCTGTCTGTGTATCTGTCTGTCTCTATCTGTCTGTATCTGCCTATATCTGTCTGTCTGTATCTGTCTGTGTATCTGTCTGTCTCTGTCTGTATCTGCCTATATCTGTCTATCTGTATCTGTCTGTGTATCTGTCTGTCTCTATCTGTCTGTATCTGCCTATATCTGTCTGTCTGTATCTGTCTGGTCTGTCTCTTACTAAACTGAACCAGTAAGGACAATACATATTAATATTTTGCATGCATAAACCACCTTGTCTTAAGAAAGTGTCCTTCACATTATTGCTTCACCAACAGTCTGACTGATCAGGGACTAAGAAGCGATTACCTAACCAGAATAATTTGTTTAATAAAGGCAACAGGCCTCAAACTCATTGTGTTTCTGAATAGATAACTGATGCATAAATCAAAATTATGTAAGAATAAGTTATGCTTGGTCACACAAGGCACTGAAGGGGTAGTTAGACTCCATTAGCATATCTTATAGTAACTTCTTTACGTTTAAAGCCTATAGACTGCATGTGAGGTCATTAAGGCTAAATTATCTACTGTATATATACTTAATGCTTTAATTTCCCTAAAACAGGGATTAAACTTAGCTCAGTGTATATACATTAAGTTACATCGACACCATGCCCAGCCCTTCTAGGGTAGGGTAGGTGCCTGAGCCCGAGCCTTTAGCTCACAAGACTGTCATTCCCATTAGCCCCCTTGGGGCGGGGATGGCAGACCAGAGAGGCCTAGCTTG